GTTGGCCCAACACGGCCCATGTTAGGTCAGGTTCCTCGATTATTATACTTTGCATAGTTAATGGTGTATTGATCTTTCATCCCAATCCAACAAACAAATAAGATTAATAATTTTGCCTAGAAAAGTTTGTGTGAAAATTGTTGTGGGGTAATTTGACCTTGGTCGGGCTAAGTACAGCTTCATCGAAAAACCCGAAGTACGAAGCTCTGAGATGTTGCAATAATAGTGCAATTATGAATTATAGTCTCATTGTCCCATGTTGTATGGTCTTTATTTTTTACGGTTATTGTAATTGACTGCCCCTTCAGAGGTCGTTGACCATATAAGTTACAGTTTTGAAATATTCTCGTGACAAAATAATAAAATCAATTGTACCATTTATGTCACACTTTCTATAGAATTGATTGCTTTTGTTTGCGAGCAGTGTGTCTTGATAACATATGATTTTACATATGTAGAAGACACTAAAATTAGACTGGCTTCGCAATGCAACAACTTGCCCAGTTTTTGTCCCATTTGGATGGTCATGTGTTGTGCAACAAAGCCAACACAATTTATTGTAATTTGAATTAGAATAATTAAGAGGACTTACCAAATGTCGTTGTCTCGAATGTATGGAAACCTACAACATTAGTTTTGTTTCATGAGATTATCATGTTCACCCGTTCATCTCCTACAATAGATATATTTGTGTTCTCTATTTCGATAGAAATAATCTCGTTATAGTTACCAACTTTAATCTTAATGCATGTACGATTGTCTTTCAAACTAATATGACCAATGTTGTCACTATGATGAAAATGACAAATAACTTCATAACTGAGTCTTTGTAAATGAAAGTAGGGATCATCATAAAGGCCCATGGCTCTTGTCTCAAAGTGGGTCAGCTCGGGCCCTAATGGGCCAAAGGCTATTCTCTTCCAAAGCTTAGCCTTGATAGGCCCATCGCACTTTTATGTTGGTAGTACGTGGACAGGGGTTTGAAATCCCGATCTGACTATACTGGCCCATGTTAAAATATTACAAAACTAAATTTAATACTACACAATTATTTAATATAAAGAAGAACAATCCTTAAGTATTGTATTAGCACAATACCTTATTTATATAAAACTAAATCAAGTTAATAACAATAAAGATGGGAAAAACAAAGAAAGTAGTTGTCTCAGCCCGCTAGGCCCGAAAGACGCAACTAACGTACACGAGCATGTGATGATACTTTGAAACCTTGGCCTAGCCCTGGAACTGCTAGTAGAACTCGAAGTTTTGTATCTTTGAAATTTTCAGTGGTTTTTTATCAAGTAATTTCACTCGCCCTGGAACTGATTCGAAAATGAACTTGACCTACTTGTAAATGTGAATGCTCATAGAGCCATATAGACGTTCAATCATCAATACTTGGATTTGATCCCAGTAATATTTTAAAACGCACATTAACTCTCAAATTCCATCTATAATATATACACACACATTTGTTATGATTTATTGTTTTTTCTTCATGAAATTTCACTTCTTCTTCTTAGGTAACTCGGTCTTGCCCTAAAAGGGCTTAGCCCATTCAATACCTAATTACATGCTTTTTGGCCTAAGGATTGAATGGGCCATACCGGCCCTACCCAAGAGGCAAGAATTATTGGGCTCCTGGATAGGCCCGAGCCTAGATAGCCATTTCAAATAAGCCACGTATAATTAACTAAATGCAATGAGCATTAATACTAGTTTACTTTTATAAAGATATTAAATACAATCATTATTAATATTAATATTAAACATTAAATATTAAATAAATCATTATTTTCTTTCAAATCATTTAATTAAATACAAGTATAATTAATATTAGTTTAGTTTTATGAAAATATTATTTATCAAATTAAATATCGGGTCGGACATTGTTATCCAAGGGCTTACACATCATGGCCTTGGCTCTACCTTTTACACAATGGGCTAGGGCTAAGCCCGCCAATTGTACCAGGCTGGGCTAGCCCATAGCCCAAAAAATAGGGTCAAGTTCGGGCCATTTTTCATCTCTGTTCTTAAGGGGTATATCAAATTCTAAATTTTAAAAAATTTTATAGACTTAAAAAGTCTGGAGGTATTCAACAGTGACTTTTAAATAGTATTTAAATGTTTACTGATATTTAATTATGACTTTTAAAACGTAGTTAAAATTATTTAAAATTTTGGTGGTATCCAAAAACTTAATGACTTTTACATAGTTTTAAGGCTAATTGTTAATAACAAAAGTCTTGCCAATTTACTAGTGATTTTTATCAACTTTATGAAAATCACTCACTTAAGAGCATCCACAATGGGCTCCCTAAACCACATAATTAAACAAATTTTAGGGAGGAATTGGAAAAATACAACTCCAACCATGATCCCTATTCACCTTTTAAAATAGGAAGACCTCCAGGAGCTCCTAAATCTGAGGAGAGAGAAAAGACTCCTAGTGACTCCCTATAATTTAATGCTTTGTTGTTTTATGCATAGTTTAAACTTTTTATTAAGGCAAACTATTTATTATTATTATTTTTTTTATAGAGATGGACGAATCATATTGAATTAAAAAATAACTATAGTATTTATGACTCCCTAATTTTGGATTTCAAATTTTATAGAGAGCTCCTAAAATAACTTTTGTGTGTTTTTAGCTAATTTTAACTAAAAAATAAGGAGAATAGACCCCACTTAAAAAAATATTTAGATAAAGCATATGCAGCCCAAAGTCATTAACCAAGCCCTACGTGGATAAAATGATGGGTTTGCCATTGGGTCCCATATTCCACGTGTTGTGAAACTAGCGGTTTGTCAAATATGGTATAAACAAAAGTAACAAATTAACCAACAAGCAATAAGATATTGCAATCAAGCGATGTACTTGTTAAGAAAAAAGTTAATTTGACCATCTCATCTTCTAGGCCAGCATAGTCTTTTTTTTTTTTTTTTTTTTTTTTTTTTTTTGGTAATACATGATGTGTGTCTCCACACCCAAAAGATGGGATTAATCCCCGCTCGGGGTTCGAGTATAGCCTTTATGACTCATTGTGTGTAGCATTGTTTGTGTTGCCCTCATCTTTTTGAATCTCTCGCTTATCTCCTATAAATATAAGTTATAAATTGTTCGTGTTAAAACAAAGTCTTTATAAGTATGAATTGGATACACCTTCACTTTAGGACTTCTATATTTCCCCAAGAGAATTTACGCTCCAAAGTTGGATCAAATTATATCTTCTCAACATACTTTCCCATTGACTGTCTCAACTCCATCTTCATTCTTTTTCTTCAACAAATAGCATTATTTTGAAGGTTGAACGCTATCATCAAGAAACTTTCGTCTTATCTTATTAGACAATTAGAAATAGCAAATACTAAGGATAACGTATCTGTAATGTCTTGGGACTATTATGAAACTAGGAGTTGCTCTAGGCCAAAACAAGCACAACCAATCGAACCAGATATGTCTAGAAGGGTATTGTGTGAGTATTATTGTCTGGGTTTACACGAACGGCTGAACAGTTCAAGACATCACGTTCACTGATTAGCCAAGTGAATCCGGTAGTACTTCACTATGGAAGGTTCAAAGCCAAAAGCTACATATCCATATGCTATATTCTTCTAATAGGAACTCTCTCTAAGTCTGCATTATCATTTGCATATTTTATCTAATATTAATTTTCTATTTGAATGGAAATTAATAAAATCCATTGGGTTAAAGACATGACCCTTGGATTAAAGACATCTTCAATTGAGGGGTGACAACTCTTCAAACCAAGGGATGCATTGTTTGGGGTGACAACTCTTCAGACCAATGGATGCATTGTTTGCCTTTTAAGATTGTGACACCTTTTTGGAAAGGGTATTTCATCATCTATAAATAGAGCAATCCTTATGCAGTTTTATTCATTCAATTAATTCTCTACATACAAACTTCCATATATAGAGAGAGCATTAGAGTTTTCATAAAGAAAGATTCCTGCATAATTTGGTTCAAAGTTCCTTGTGAATTTCAGTGCTTCTTTCATAAGGAGGGGAGTCGTTGTATCCTGAGAGGCAAACTCTAGTGAACCATAAGCACTAGTGTGGGGCGTAATTCATCTTAAGGTCAGAGTGTCCAACACTTGCCTCGACTCAATTAAGATTCTTCTAATTCAATTCTCCTTTTGTAAAAATCTGTTTTATGTGCAGTATTTATTTTATAACAATTTATCACTCATATTTCCAACACATTCTGTTTTACATTACCATTTTCTAGTAACGTGACATTTCATTTGTTAGTAGATAATCTTTGAATTGTAGTCTTGAACAATTGGGTTCAATTTTCTTCTGTGTGTTTATTTTTGGGTTGCTACACCTTCTTTGGTATTTTTAAGGGTAAATAAAATAACCAAAATGATACAAAACGGGCCATTAAAAAAAATATATGTGCTGCTCCGCAAAGAAACGAACGAGTTAAGAGGAGGAGTAGGAGTGGCCTCACCCTCCCCCTATCACGCCGTGCTTGAAGATAAAGGAAAATTGAGGGTTTGAGAAGAGAGAGAGACAAAGGGTCTAGGGTTTAGAGATATAGTGGGTATTATACATTCTCTCCTATCCACGTGTTATAATATAAGTAGATATTTATTGATATTATTCCCTAAATGAGGGAAATACCAACAATGTTATCCACCTATATTATAACACGTGTACAATCTATAATACATTGTCATATTCCAGTACCATTCTATAATTTCTCCATTGTATCCTCATACGTTACTTATATTTATGGTTCTTAAACACATATGATAAATGTAGAGGATTGCATTCCCTCAATTTCTATAGATATTATATTCCATTTTTGTTGCATTGCGTGCATTGTATACAACATTCTATTATTTTCCAAAACCGAATTTACATTTGTGGAAAGACATAAATCAGATTACCTAGAATTGTCTAAGTAAACAATTATACATTCTCCCAGTAAGAGCCTTTAGATTAAAATTTGAAATAGAAAAATAAGAAGAATGAGATCTCTCAAATGGATCATTGCATGTCTCACACTCTTTGTTCTAAGCCAATCTCGAGTATCAGTGAATGCAGATTTGGTAGAAGAGACGTGCCGCAAAACCACCAATTACGGTTTATGTGTGTCATCGTTAAAATCTGACCCTCGTAGTTCAACAGCTGATGTTAAAGAACTGGCTCGTATTGCGCTTGACCAAACGCTGACCAATTCTGTGGACACTCAAGCTCGAATTGAGTGATGAATATATTCGGAAAGGTCTTGGGACTATTAAGGTGTAAAGAATTTATCTCTAATTGGTTCGGAGATTGTTCTTATTTTAGGTTAATTATAATTATAATGTAACCCTTAGTTGTTACTATTAAGGTGAAATAAAGGTGAACTACTTTGTATTATTTGCTCTCTATTGATTTGGTTGATGGTACTTAAGTTTTGCAGGAAAACAGTTTTTTATGCTTTTTGTTTAGGTGAAAATAAAGGGGGTTTGACACTTGTCAAATTCCTTTAATATTTCCTTTTTTTTTCCTTGTGTATTCCTCTAACTGTTTTTTCTTATGAATTTTTATTAGAAATATATTTACTCACCATTTTTATTAGAAATATTCTTGCTCACCACTATCATTCTCAACACGTGACACATGTCTATGAGCATAATCGTGGTTCCACAAATACCAAGCAAATATGGTTATACCAATTGACATATCAAGTGTCGAGAAGGATAGCGAGAATACACATTGGGCTAATATGGTAAGCAAAAATATTCTCCTTATATAAGAGAGTACAATTAAACTATTAAATTAAGTATAAAAAAAAATTTCTTCTCAATTTTAAGGAGTTAAGCAATGTTCTTATTTTAATTTAAATATAATGTGAATATAAAATTTTATCCATATTTAATGAAATGTCTATTCTTTTCTCAAAATAGTATCTTTTTACCATTTTGTTCCTTTTCCGTTAATTTTTCTGTATGTTAGGATTCTAATTTGTTGGTATTTTGAAAGCTTCACCCGACTCCTCGTTTTTCCTTTTTATATATGGAAGATAATTATAAATAACTAAATCATTTTTGAATCTTATATGGTACAATCGTTCAAGTTCAACCACAAATTTTGGGATTTTGCTTCAGAAATTATTTTATACCTTGTTTGGAGGCCATGGCCAAATCCATCCTATTTAAACAATTCCATTAGGTTCTGGATTTCCTTCCTAAATCTGAATTATTTGACCTAATCCAAATCCATCCTATTTAAACAATTCCATTAAGTTCTTTATTTCCTTCCTAAATCTAAATTATTTGACCTAATGAAGTTTTGTATATAAATATGTGCGTGCGCGCCCCGTCTGCTAGTTATACACATTTCTTTCGTCTTGAGAAAACGGAGATGAAATTACTGAGATGGATTACAATTGTTCTTGCTCTCCTTATTTTTTATCAATCCTTTACATCAGTGGGTGCTGATTTGATAGAGGACACATGCAACAAAACCTCTAACTTCAAATTTTGTGTGTCCTTTTTAAGATCAAAGCCTGGTAGTGCTACCGCAGATGTTCAAGGGCTTGCTCAGATCGTGGCTGATCAAATACAAATCAATCTGAAGGATACATTTTCCGAAGCCACCAAATTATACAAGGAGGCAACTGAGCGAGTTATAAAAGAATGCTTCCAAATATGCTCCGAGGTGTACACCGTAGCTATTGACTACATGAATGGTGTCCTTAGAAATCTGAAATCTAAAAACTATAGTAATACAAGGGATGGTCTTTCGGTCGTCTATGGTGACGCAGACACTTGTGAAGAGTCATTCCATGAGGAACCAGTTCGACCATCGCCATTAACGAAAAATAACAATGATGTAAAGAATTTAGCTCTAATTGGTTCGGAGATTGTTCTTATTTTAGGTTAATTTTAATTATAATGTAACCCTTAGTTGTTACTATTGAGGTGAAATAAAGGTGAACTACTTTTTATTATTTCCTCTCTATTGATTAGGTTGATGGTACTTAAGTTTTGCTGGAAAACAGTTTTTAATGCTTTTTGTTTAGGTGAAATAAAGGGGGTCAAATTCCTTTAATATTTCTTTTTCTTTTTCTTTTGTATTCCTCTAACTGTTTTTTCTTATGAACTTTTATTTATGAATCTTTTGAAATTTGACAAGTGTCAAAATCTCATTTGTTGTGAGGAGAAATTCTTACACACTATACAATAGTACATAAGGGGAGCATTTTTTTCTCACCATTTTAACTCTAGGTGTACCATCACTACCATTCTCAACACGTGACACATGTCCGTGGCCATAATCGTGATTCCACAAATACGAAGCAAATAATTAAGTATGGTTATGCTAATGGACATGTCAAGTGTTGAGAAGGGTAATGAGGTACACATTGGGTTAGCAAACATATTTTCATTACATAGGAGGGTTACAATTAAACTATTAAATTAAGTAAAAAAAAAATTCTCTCAATTTTAAGGAGTTAAGCAATTTCTATATACCTTGTTTGCAAAATCCCAAGTTTAAGGAGTTAAGCAAAGAAGTCGTTCAAGTTCAACCACAATTTTGGGATTTTGCTTTAGAAATTATTTTAGGGAGCTGATTTCCCCACTCCCTTTTGCTTTTTAATACTTTTAATCAATTTTGTTCTTTTTCTTTCCTATTCTATCCTTACCTTACATTAATTTCTTTTTTACTTCACTTTTATATTATTTCTTTTTCTTTATACTAAATTTTTAAACTTACACTCCATTTTCAGTATTAAATCGGAAAAAAAACTTAATTTCTTACTCGATTAAAGGAAAAATAATAATATTGAAAACGGAGTGCAGTTGGAAAATTAAGTATAAAGAAAAAGAACTAATATAAAAGTGGAGTAAAATGAAATTAATGTAGGGTAATGGTAGAATAGGAAAGAGAAAGAACAAAATTGATTAAAAAGTATTAAAAAGAAAAATAGAGTGTAAGTGGAGAAAAAGGGAGTGGGGAAATCATATCCCTTATTTTATACCTTGTTTGGAGGCCATGGCCAAATCCATCCTATTTAAACAATTCCATTAAGTTCTGGATTTCCTTCCTAAATCTGAATTATTTGACCTAATCCAAATCCATCCTATTTAAACAATTCCATTAAGTTCTTTATTTCCTTCCTAAATCTGAATTTATTATTATTATTTTTTTCTGGTGAACTTGGGGGGAAAACCCCAAACCTAAATCTGAATTATTTGACCTAATGAAGTTTTGTATATGAATGTGTGTGTGTGCGCCTGCTAGTTATACACATTGCTCCCGTCTTGAGAAAACGAAGATGAAATTACTAAGATGGATTACAATTGTTCTTGCTCTCCTTATTTTTGATCAATCCTTTACATCGGTGAGTGCTGATTTGATAGAGGGCACATGCAACAAAACCTCTAACTTCAAATTTTGTGTGTCCTTTTTAAGATCAAAGCCTGGTAGTGCTACCGCAGATGTTCAAGGGCTTGCTCAGATCGTGGCTGATCAAATACAAATCAATCTGAAGGATACATTTTCCGAAGCCAGCAAATTATATAAGGAGGCAACTGAGCGAGTTATAAAAGAATGCTTCCAAATATGCTCCGAAGAGTACGGTGTAGCTATTCATTACATGGATGGTGTCCTTGCAAATCTGAAATCTAAAAATTATAGGAATGCAAGGGAAGGTCTTACGGGCGTCTATGTTGACGCAGACACTTGTGAGGAGTCGTTCCATGAGGAACCAGTTCGACCATCGCCATTAACGAAAAATAACAATGATGTAAAGGATTTAGCTCTAATTGGTTCGCAAATTATCCATATTCTAGGTTAATTTTAATTATAATGTAACCCTTAGTTTTTACTATTAAGGTTAAATAAAGGTAAACATCTTTTTATTATTTCCTCTCCAAATGATTTGGCTGATGGTATAATGTTATGTAGAGTACGTTTTGGTTCAAATCGTGGATGAATCAGAGTTAAAATAAATTGTCGTAAAAAAGGAAAAAAACAAAGCAATGATAAGATATTTCAAGTATTGTTGAGGAAAAATGTGAGCCTCCAACATAGTTTCACCACCACTGTCTAAATAAAGGGATTATTTATTTCAAGTTTGACTCATTTGAGATAAAATGTCTCTTAATTTAAGTTGCCTACGTATATCCCTTCCGGGAATTAAGCCACTCGTAGTTCAAGAATTTCAATGATGAATGACTCACTAAAATAATGATTTGGTGAGGGAAATTTAATGATTTGTGTGAGGATGGGGGGGGGGAGGGGAGAGGGGAGAGGATGGATTTAATTTAGAATAAACGAGTGATACTGTTTTAGATTTGAAATTTGGGCAATTGCATCTAGTCTCTAGATTGCCTACATATCCTTAATGAAATCAAATTAACGTAGCTCAGAATTGCAATAAGTGAATAACTCATTGCACGTAGAAGGAAAAATTTAGTTAGAATAAACTAGAGATTATATGCCGCCCTTTCGGGTTTTTTTTTTTTTTTTTTTTTTTTTTTTTTTTTTTTTTTTTTTTTTTTGCGCTCGTAGCTTAACTTTCTTAGACAGCTCTCTTTAGAGCTCTTTATTTTCCAATCCAAACAACTTTTTTTTTCTTTTTTCTTTTATTCAATCAATTTTCGATGACTGACGTGGTCAATCATATCCTTGAGGACATAACAATCCTTTGTCAGATGACTGAGAATACTATGGTACCGACAAATAATTGGAGTCATGTTGTTGTTCACTTCAGCAAGTCTTTTAAGCTCAGGAAGCTCGAATCTCGATGACCCTAACTGTCAAGAGCTCGGAGAGAATTTGTCCGACATCATGATCGTCGAAGGTGTATTTGACCTCTTTCCTTTGTTTGTGCGTGAACCGTTTTGATCCTTTCTTTTCTTCGCCCATGTTAGACTTTTGTATATTTTGGCAAAGGTAGCCACATACTCTTCTTTTTCTTCATTGTCGGCCTTTTTGTCTTGTAACTTCTGAGTCACTCCTATTTGTCGAGCTACTTGTCATTCAGCATTGCATGCCTTTGAGATTAGCGCGTCAAACGTTTGCGGTTCTGCAATGCTGACAAATGTAGCCATCTCGAGTAGGAGATTATTTGAGCATATTGTACAGCAGATTGCTCGGTCAATAATTTTTCAAAGCATTGGAGGTTAAGACTCTCGATCTTGTTATGGATTCATTTACATTTTCATTTGAATTTTGGCAAGCCTCAGCCCAAAAGTAACCAGGGAAAAAAAAATGCTAGGAGAATCATCTACACTAAAAAAGCAGAAAAAAAGAAGTTGCAAGTATTCATTCCATACCACTATTATTTCTCCTCAAATAAGTCAAGTGGTATGACTTATTCACGTGTTACAATATAAGTGGATATTTTATCGATACTATTTCTTAAAATAGAGAAAAATTAACATTGTCGTTCATCTATATTATAACACGTGTACAAGCTATATCACGTCACCTCATTCAAGTACCATTCTGTAAGTTCTCCTTTATATCCTCATACATTATTTATGATATTTATAGTCCTTAACATATGATAAATGTAGAGAATGAGAATCCCTCGATTTCTATAGATAATATTCCATTTTTGTTGCATTGCGTGCGTTGTATACAACATTCTATTATTTTCCAAAACCGAATTTACATTTGTGGAAAAGAGATAAATCAGATTACCTGGAATTGTACAAGTAACAATTACACATTCTCTCAGTAAGAGCCTTGAGATATTGAAATTTGAAATACGAAAACAAGAAGAATGAGATCTCTCAAATGGATCATTGCATGTCTCACACTCTTTGTTGTAAGCCATATCGAGTATCAGTGAATGCAGATTTGGTAGAAGAGACGTGCCGCAAAACCACCAATTACGTACGGTTTATGTGTGTCATCGTTAAAATCTGACCCTCGTAGTTCAACAGCTGATGTTAAAGGACTGGCTCGTATTGCGCTTGACCAAACGCTGACCAATTCTGTGGACACTCAAGCTCGAATTGTGAGGTTGTTTAATGAAACGAGTGATGAGTATATTCGGAAAGGTCTTGGGACTTGCAAGGATGAGTATGATTTGGGTGTTGGAAAGATTACAGAGGCCACTCAAAATGTGATATTGAGTCACTTCGTGGACGCGAGGAATGATGTTGCAGATGAGGTAAACACTTGTGAAGAGTCATTTTCCAGAGGAGGACGATGGCGACAATCACCATTGACTGATAGGAATAATGTCATTGTTAGGTTCGCTAAATTCACTGGAGAGATAATCGCATTCTTGGTTGAGTGTTGTAATTGTAAGCTATGTTTATGGCTTGATCATAACTGATGATGTATGAGATAGTATATTATCTGTACTGGGTTATCATTAAATAAAATAAGAAATGAAATTGCAATTTCAACTATTTTAATTGATTTTGATTGAGGTTATATAGTCTTGTTTATTAACTCGTACATTTAATTATAGAAGTAGGTAAGTGTCTTGACCATTTAGTCTAGCGACATTTCGTCTCTATTTTATTCAAATTTAAGAAGGAAACCAAAATATTAACACACAGAAAATAAGGGATGAAAAGTATGTTTTACCCAAAAACATATATTATACAAAGAGTTTAGACACGGTACCTATATAGACTAACCTTTTATTTTTTAATTTGATTCATTTAGAGTAGATTAGGTAGGTAAACAAATCATGACTTTAATTGTTTTTGTTATAAGAAAGGGAAAAAAATTATGATATCATGACAAACTAAGCGTACGTGGGTACACCAAGAATAATAGCCGACCCAATCACAACTGGTCACATTTTGTAGGAACAAACGAAATCGTCTCCTTGACAAGATCATGATAAACCAGAAAATTCTGCTGCTGATAATTCCCAAACACAGACATAGCGCTTGCAGACCCCATGGCCAAACAAAGTACTCCAACGTCGGTATCAGCAATAATATAATTTTCAGCAGGCAACTCTAAATCCGCATTCTTGAAATGAAACACCAACTTTGGCACCTCTACTTTTCCAGAGCCGTCGTCCTCCGGCAATTTGAAGCACACGTCAAGCCCCACGGTATCGGTCGCGTCTGCCTCTGCAAGCTTGATCTGGGAAGTGAACTCCGTCTTCAGTAAATCAAAAGCACCTTCTTCTATGTATGTAAGAGTTGTCCCCGAGTCTATTATTAGCCCACCATTGCCATCATCTCCGAGGGCAAATGTGTCTTTATCTATAGGCAGCCGAGTGTCACCCACGGAGATGCCTTCAAGGCCAAGATAGTAAAATGTTGATTGGTCCGGGTTTGGGCTTTTGATCAAAGGGGTTGTTTTGATATCTGCATGCTTTGATGTAGTGTTGTCCAAGTTTGCAACAGACCCCATCAAAAGTGTGCTACTACTTTTTGTGGCATCCACGGAAGTCAAGCAATAAGAGAACTTGGGCTCCTTGAGCTGCGAAACCAACGACAATGTTCCACGCCCTAACCCCACAAGACCAGCACCTTGATTGAACCCACCACCTTGATTGTCTTTCCCACATCCAAACCCTATTTTCGGGATGGAAACGTCTCCGAATGTGAACGTTTCGGTTGCGAGAATCCCATCTGTGGAGGAAAAATCACCATAAGCGTAGAAGTACTCACAAGAGTTGTTGGTGCATGTTTGTGAGGGTAGTGCTTCACAAAACTCGCTTTCACATGATAGCTTTGAGAATGTTGAGGACTTTTCGGGGTTGAAAATCGGGGTTGGCTGATCATAACAGTCCTTACAAGGCTTGCATTGAGTCCAGATGAGATCGCTCCCGGTGTCCAAGATAGCGTTGTAGGTTTCAGCTGGAGTGCCAATTGATAACTTCATTAAGAACTCTCCTTGCCCGGCGTGGATCGGGGAGGTGGCACCCAAATTATGATCTGATGATGAGGTGGATAAGACGCTAAGCCTTTGCAACCTTTTCCGGCCACGCTTGATTCTACGTTGAAGACGCTCGAGTTTGGTCAAGTTTTTATCAGAATCAATGTGTTTGAGAGTCACCTTGAACCCATTTTGCATGGTTTGGTGGTGGTCATGGAGATCGAGAGCTCGTCTTGAAGTGGAGCATGCCGGGTTAACAAAGAAGGCAACCAGAAGACCTCCTAGGGTTAATATTAATGGCACACTTGACAGTGGAAAGACTGAACCCGAACCCATAATCTTAGCGAAAAGATATAAATGAGCTAGTTAGCTAGTGAGAATGTGAGAGGGATTTAAGAGAAGAAGATGGAGGGATTAGTATTGAGGAAGACAACCTATAATGGAGAGCTTAATTTGCGTTTTGTCTGTTGGAGTAAATTAATCAATAAACCGAAAGACATACCAACTTGGTGAGCGTGAGAGGAGGTTGAGATATCAGCATTACGTCGCAGCTAATAATGCCTGGTCTTGCGTCTCTCTTGAGGAAAATGAAACTCGATTTGATGAATGTATGCAAGGCAGCAACAATTTTATGAGCGAGAGATTGGGATTTATGTATGCAGAAGAAGTCTCTAGTTCACACGCTTTAGTCTCTTTTGTCACAAGGGCTACGGGGTTTTGACATTGTTATATATATAACACCCTTGTTGGCCACCTATTCGATGACCAGCTAATATCAGTTAAATTATGGGCTTTGATTATGGAGTTTATATTTTTTTAGCACAAGCGATAGTTTAAACTACAAGGGAGAGAGATTTCTCACACGCACACAACTACGATGCCGTGGGAATTTGAACTTGAGACCTCTGTTTTGCAAGTTAAGGCCATTTTAGATTGGGCTAGACCCCTTGACCATTATGGAGGTTATGTTAAGAAATAATTAAATCACACATTTTCTGAAAAGATGGGACCCATGTATATAAGTAGATGATCACTGAGGACTAGCTATTATAGCTAATTGAGTAGACTACATGAAATTATGGCAAGGGCATATATATATTTATACTCAAAGATCTAACATGTCATTGCTTTCAATTTCTTCAAAATAATCATAAAGATAAAAAGTGATACACAAGTGAACCAGAAATGATGTATTGGAGGGTAGGTAGGCTAACTCGTTTACTATTGACTGATAAGGCACTTGGAGTTGGTTTGATTTCCACGCATACGGGAAGAACAAGGTTGGTAGATGGTCTAATTTTTGTTAGGTGCTAGAGTTTGATTACTCTCTCTCTCTCTCTCTCTCTCTCTCTCTCTATATATATATATATTTTTTTTTCCATTTGTTGACAAAATTAGGGTACCACGGCACTTTCACAATTCAGAAAAAAATATCCCCAAAAAGAAAAGAAAAAAACAAGGAGCCTTGCACACAGCCTATAGCTAGGAAGCGAATTTGTGCGGGAAGTTATCATACAAAGCTTGAGTGAATGATACCTCTAAACAAGATGGCCCATTCATGTTAAAACATCTGCTGCTGAGTTTGTTTCCTGAAGAAGTAATGTCAAAAGTTCCACATGTTGGGCGGTGAAGAAATGAATGTCCATAGAGGCAGATCAATATATATAGGGGCCAGAGGCAAACCAAAAGATAATATCTTGCTGAGATTCCTAGTTAGGTCGAGGATACTTTTAATGATGATTTGGTAAGAGTTCCTAAAACTCGTATTGTCTCTATTATTTAATTTTTGTGTGTTTAAGGGTTAATCCCCCATTTCACTAAAAAAAGAAGATAATATTCGTTTAGTCTCCGCCACCACAATGAATGTCATACCACCATAGAATTACTTCCAATAAATATTCTAGAGTATTATACTTGTATATGCTAAGAATGTGAGGACAATTAATTGTTAGAATTAGGATATTCAAACTTTTCTAACATTAGGAAGAGAAATGGCACTAAGTCTACAGCTAATTGATACATGTTTCTTTATTTTAAACCATAATTGTCCAGTAGGAATGCGTACTTAAAATATAAATAAAATGAAAATATGGCTCTTGAATTAATAACTAAGGGTTTGTTTGGTAGGAAGGACTAGACTAGACTAGAAAAATGTCTACATTTCATATGCATTGAATGCATAATATGGATATGTTGCCTAACTTGGAGGAAGAATGGAAACTATCTATAAGAGGTTGATGACTAAAACTTATCCCCCCGGTAATCACATTGAAATTGGTAGGATTATAAGGGATAAGTTTTAGTCATCAACCTCTTATGAATATTTCTCTTTCATCCTCCAAGTTAGACAACAATATTCATAATATGCCTTGATTGAACATAAAATATAAGTATTTTTCTAGTCTAGTCCTGGGTATAAGAGCCCAATTTGTGACATATTCGTTTTTTGTTTGAAATCTTTTAATAAATAAATATTGAAAATAGGAGGAAAACGGTGGAGAATTGTGAGGAGCCATTGCAGGCCCAAACAAACAGATGAAGGAATCAAGAGAGCCCCTTTTCGATCACTAACTATTTGTTATTTTAGCTATGAGGGATAGGGCTTCAAAGGAAGGACCTTAACCCTTTTGGCAACCCGATTGAGTCTGGATATAGAACAATGGTCCTAACATTTGTTAGGTGAGCTTAATTGCATAATGGGCTGGGATATCTTCTCTGGTTTGCCTTCTTCTCTCTTTTCTCCTCTCTCCTCTCTCTTCTCCTCTGCAAATCATGCATGTGATGACTTCATCAATGTGTAGACCCTAGCTCGTGGGGCACACCTCGTGCGAAACTATCAAAACCCTAACAACAGCCTATTGACCAAAAACGAAAATAAAACACACGCGGTTAGCCATATAGTAGTAATGACTGCTGATAATGTAGGGTTGGGTTGGGGATTCTTGGAACGGATATTGTCTGCTGTTTGTTTTGTCATCTGACATGCCTATGTATTCTTTTTTCCCCTTGGTCTCTGGACCTCTATGTATTCTTGTTAGTATGGGCTGTTCCTTTTGCTCTTATAATAAATATGAAATTTCAACAACCAAAAAAATAACACAAAATCCTTTGGTGGGTAGTCATGTATTCTGATACGTTATTCTTAGTAAATACACCTCATTTAAACAGGTTCTTAGAATGCGAACATGACTAATAATTCACTCCTTGCTTTCATAATTGGTTCATAATTGCAATATAGGTATGCAAGCTTAGCCTACCATGCTTTAGTCGGTGGCCTAATAACAAAAATTTCATGATGAAAGAAAAAAAAACATATGCATATATGTAAGTATATATACATTATATACGCACGTATATACTATTTTTTTGAAAGCAAAAAATACATATTACGTGCTGGTGGACATGCATTAAGTCAATATTTTTCTAGCACTCGAACAATTCATATTCTAAAAGTTTCAACTCTATGAATGTCGGAAAAATGAATTAACAGTGAAGATTTAATCATAAAATTGCAATTCCGGATCCACATAAGAACACAAGATGTACATAATTCACCTTGATAACTATGGAGAAGAAGAAGTGCTGAAGAGAGAAAAGTAAAGCTCTGTATATTCTCAGAAATTGTGTTTTTACATTGTAATTAAATGAACCACATACCCAAGCTTATATAGTTGTGTAACCATAAGCTAACCTGCTTAACAAATTGCTTAACAGACTAACTAATCATACTACTAAGCACGTGAAGGGCTAACAAACTTGCCACCTCACCAAGGACACGTGTCACTAGTAACATCAGCTAACATTCCCTCTCAATCTTAGCTGGGTTGTTACCTAGCCTGAGATTGGAACGATGTCGAATGAACACTGGACTATGAAGGCCCTTGGTAAGAATATCTGCAACCTAACCATCTGTGGGAATATATTGCACAACCAGATTTCGACATTGAAAAGTGATAATCGATCTCCAAATGTTTAATACGCGAGTGAAAAACTGGATTGACACTAAGAGCTAATGCTGACATATTATCACTATGAATAATAGGTGCCTCTGGCAGTGTCATATGCAAATCACACATTATCTGTCTAATCCAAGCAATGTCTACTGCACAATTGGCTAGAGAACGGTATTCGGCTTCAGTGGAACTACGAGAGACTGCAGCTTGTTTCTTCAATGACCATGAGATTGGATTATCACCAAGAAATACAACATAACCTATGGTAGAACGTCTGGTGTTAGGATCACCTGCCCAATCAGAGTCACAATAGCCAAATAAAAGCATAGAGCTAGGAGAGAATGTGATCCCATACTGAAGAGTACCTTGCAGATATCGCAAGATACGTTTGACCAAAGCAAAATTTGTATCAGTGGGAGCAGTGGCGGAGGTAGAGTTTGATATTTGGAGGGGCCACAAGCTTAAAACTATGGGATTTTTTTTGTGCAATCTATACTACACTCTTTATACAGTCAAAGAGGTGAGAAGATGTTGGGGGGGCCCAGACCATCTCAGGCCTATGAATAGCTCCGCCCCTGAGTGGGAGCATTCATGAACTGACACGCTGTATTTACTGCAAAGGCAATATCTGGTCGTGTAAAGGTCAAATATTGTAATGCTCCAACAAGACTTCGATACAATGTTGGATCAGAAAGAAGAGTACCTTCATCTTTCAACACAGACTGATGAGGTTTAATTGGAGTCAAACATGGTTTACAAGTGTCCATGCCTGCCTTCTTAAACAAATCTCGAGCATACTTAGCTTGATTGACAAAAATATCACCATTGTCCTGATAATGAACCTCCAATCCCAGAAAATAGGTAAGACGACCTATGTCTTTCATATCAAATACCTCCCCCAAAGAATCAATAACAGATTGTACCACTTGTGTATCTGAACCAGTGATGATTATATCATCAACATACAATAATAGAATAACCACAGAGGTAGAATTTTGTCTGACAAACAGACTAGGATCTAAGTGAGATGATTGAAACCCCAAAGAAGGTAGATAACCTGTAAACTTGGCATTCCATGCACGCGGTGCCTGTTTTAAACCATATAGGGATTTCTGTAATTTGCACACATAATTGGGATATGTAGAGTTAGTAAAACCTTGAGGTTGGCTCATATAAACCTCTTCTTGTAATTCCCCATGAAGGAAGCATTTTTTACATCCAATTGCCGTAAATCCCATTTAAACATAGCAGCTAAACTGAGTACTAATCTGACTATGGTGTGTCTCACTACAGGACTAAATGTTTCGTCATAATCCAAACCATGCTCTTGACTGAATCCTTGAGCGACCAGCCTAGCTTTGTATCGAGAAATTGTTCCATCTGAATTTCTTTTGTTTTATATATCCACCTACATCCTACAATATTCTTGTCAAGAGGAGGAGGAACAAGATTCCATGTACCTTGTAATTGGAGAGCTTGAATTTCCTCTGCCATAGCCTGTTGCCATTCTGGTTGAGCTACTGCTGCCTTAAAATAAGTTGGAGTCTCAGGTTCTATGACAGAAGTAAGCATAGTTGCAAAGCATGAGAATTCTGGAAATTGTCTTTTCTGAACAACCCCAGACTTGAGTCTGGTTTGCATAGGATGACAATTAGTAGAATGAGGCATTGCATAGGCATCTGATGACTCATGAATATTTGAGTTAGGTGAAATAGGTAACACTACCTCCAATTGATTGGTTGAAGTAACAGGTAATATAGAACCTGATGAGAACTCCAAGGACTCAGTAACACACCTAATATGAACTATGTTCACAAAATTTGTTGGTGTTTTCACTCAATATGATTAATAAGACTACAATTTATAAGATATTGACTTGAACATAAGAGCCATAAAAATAATTTATAAGGTATTAAATTACGGGTGTAAATTGAATGTAAATTTCCACTTTTACATCTTGTTTACATCTTACAGAAGTGTTGTTGGCATGTTAAAATTGATATGGGCCGTTCATAATTGCACTGATGGAGAATAGGAAGGGAAGCTTGGCTTTTCAATTGAGTGGGCCCCGGTGAGTTTGGGTTGCATATGATTTTTCTTTCCTCTCTCCTCTCTTCCTTTTCAGCCATCGAACCCACTTCATGCAGATGTAATCTATAGCATGCGCCGCCGCCCCCACCCCCCAAAAAAAACTCCAGCAGCAACCTGTATTCCTCTATGCGAGGGATAAAGAATCGTTATATATGTAGGCTTCGTGTACAAAAGCCCTTGTTGTGATAAATCACGTGGGATTCTAGCTTGGTCAACAACGGAAGACAACAATTCGAGATACTGAAACTTGAGTAATCAACCCTAGACCTTACTTCTAAGACCCTTATAATTTTAAAACCTTATTCTAATAGTCTAAAAACTCCAAACTCTCTTATAAAATTGTGGTTGCAGTGCATAGTTATTTGTATCCACAAATCATCAAAACCCCAACATTTTTAAATTTTTTTGATAGTGGATAAAGGGGAGGATATGATTTTATATTTATAACAATTAAAATATCAGCCAGCCACAAATAATTCAGGCTAAGAAAAGACTAGCGACAAGCGCAACACCACAAGTTAGATCAACTAATTTCAATAAATCTCATGAATAATTTCAATTTTTTAATACATATTTTGATTAAAGAACGAAAATCCTAACTCTTTATAATATTTATTTTTTAAAGGAGAAGTACTTATATGAAATGGAAATAACACTATTTTGCTATCATCGACCAATCAAAGTATGACATGCATAATAATTTTTTCCCGTAACATTATATAATTGACAAGAGATAACAATATTATCTTTGTATGATATAAGTTCTGCTTTCGAAGGGTCACCATACGGACCGTGTTAAAAAGTAGGTTGCATGGACTCCGACGGGCTGCCCTTAGTCATAATTCGTTGGTTGATTGTTAATTAACTATTTTTTTTTTTTTTTTTTTTTTTTTTTTTTTTTTTTTTTTTTTTTTTTTTTGATGTGGATGTGTGTGAATAAAAAGTGAAAATAAGTGGGTATAATTATATCCGAAAATGTATATAAACAACATATTGGCTCTAATACCACACACAGCCTAACTTGTACGACTTCTAGCATTGGAGAAACATTACTCAAAATGCCCAAGTCCTTTTTCTTCAAACCATTTTTCTTTTTATATCGGATTTTCTTTCGGAAACTTCAAGGTTTCCCTATGAGTGTGAGCAGCAGCCATCATGCAAGCTCAAGCCGGTCTAAAAATGATAAGTTCTTTGGTTCTCTTTATTCCCACAGATCAGACCTCTCAAACCAAACCCTGATCATCTTCAATTTCGAAGGAGCTTTGCTGAAATCCTCTTCTTTGTTTGATTACTTCATGCTCGTGGCGTTTGAAGCCGGAGGCTTGTTAAGGTCACTTGTTCTCTTTCTTCTGTACCCTCTTATATGTTTGGTGAGTGAAGAAATTGGGTTGAAGATAATGGTCATGGTCTGCTTCTTTGGGCTCAAGAAAGATAGCTTCAGAGTTGGGACGGCTGTGTTGCCTAAGTTCTTCTTTGAAGACGTTGGGTTGGAAGCCTTTGAGGTTTTACAAAGAGCTAGGAAGAAAGTTGGTGTTAGTAATCTTCCTCGAGTAATGATTGAGAGCTTCTTAAAAGACTATTTAGAGATAGATGTGGTAGTTGGGAAGGAGCTAAAGGTGTTTTGTGGATACTTTTTGGGTGTCATGGAAGAAAAGGAGAACAACGTTTTGCCTGTTTTGGAAGAACATGATGGGGAGGACATGGGTTTTGACATAATTGGCATCACTGCCTCCAACAAATTTCATGATCACCAATTATTCTATTATTGCAAGGTACCTACTTTCCATATTGTTTTATGCTCTTTTTCAAAACAATAAGGTCAAATGACATTTATATGGAAATCTTTTTTCTCACTACTATATTAATCGAAGGTGTATCATCACTACCTTTTTTTATATTTATTTTTTTTGGTTACATTGGGAGGAAAGAAAACCCTTGGGGTTTCAAACCTGGGTTCTCAAGTAGGGGGAGGCCACCATTGTGGTACCTACTCTCGACTTCTTGATACTTGACATGTGTTCATATATTCATAACCATGGTTAACTTTTTACTTTGTATTTATGGAATCATGATTATGCATATAAACACATGTCGAGTATTAAGAAGGTTGATTAGAATACACTTTAGGTTAATATTGTGAGGTATCGTTAATTTTTTTTCTCTCTATATTTTAACTATAAAGTGATATGAAAAATTGTATGATAGTATGTTATTGAAAACTCAGATGTATAGAAATAAAATATTGGTACACCTGTTGGAAACTTCAAATGGAATGCATTAAAATTGTTATAGGTATATCTTTTTGTGGCCTTAAATGGTTTTTGCAACTTGCAAATACAGGATGTCTACTTGGTGGGGAACTCAGATAAGAGGAGCTCGAAGAAGCTGCCAAGAGACAGATACCCGAAGAAACTTGTGTTCCACGATGGTAGGTTAGCTCTCAAACCGACCCCACTGGATACAATCGCCATATTGATGTGGGTCCCACTTGGAATTGCCCTAGCAATCTTCAGAATCATAGTCGGCATATCACTGCCTTACGGCGTGTCATTCCCTATACTAAGTTTCAGTGGTCTGCGGTTGACTGTGAATGATAATACAAAACGCGAGAGCCAAAGCATTAATAATTCTCATCGTTCACTTCCAAACGACAAGCCCAAAAGTGTCCTTTACGTTTGTAACCACAGAACACTCCTAGACCCTCTATACATTTGCTTCGCATTGAAGAAAAATCTCCACGCAGTAACGTACAGCCTAAGCAAAATGTCTGAGATTCTCTCACCAATCAAGACTGTTAGATTGACAAGGAACCGCCATCAAGATGCCGAGATGATGGAAAGGCTGATGAATCAAGGCGACGTGGTTGTTTGCCCCGAAGGAACGACATGTCGTGAACCCTACCTCCTTAGGTTTAGCCCTTTGTTTTCAGAAATCAGTGATGAAATAGTACCTGTTGCAGTTGACACACATGTCACCATGTTCCATGGTACGACTGCTGGTGGGCTCAAGTGCTTGGATCCACTTTTCTTCATGATGAACCCCTCAGCAATCTACACTGTTCAGTTGCTGGATACGGTATCTGGGCTGTCTTGCTGTCGTGATGGGAGTAGATCAAGCATTGATGTGGCTAATTACGTGCAAGGTGAAGTTGGTAGGGCATTGGGGTTTGAATGCACCAAGTTCACAAGGAGAGATAAATACTTTATTTTGGCCGGGAATGAAGGTATTGCTTGTAAAAGTAATCAGCCTTTAAAATTCGAGTAATGGGAAAGAGATCCTATTATTTCAAAACTATATTAATGAAATTATATTATGGTGATAGGTGAAATTCATTTGTTACATCAATTATTATGACTAATTATAATCGATATGTTGCATGTCACATAATGCGGTTAGTTCATTAATCTAGTGTACCAATATGATCCTTTAAAAGTATTATTATCCTAGCTATATTATTTTTGCACAGCGTTGTTATATGATAAGTCTGAATAAATGTCGTTGGTGAGGGTTTGAATCGAAGTGATGTATCTCTCTTCGGTATATCCCCTGTGAATTGTAAGCTCCAATCCTTTTCTCCCTAATCTGTATTATAAAGGTATGCCTTTGCAGTACTCTTCTTGTGCTATATATATCAAAAGTAAATGAATGAAAGCTACTTGTCGATCGAAGAAGCACCACACTTACAACTTGGCAGGTGATGATAAGACCAGTCGAGCGGCCTACGTGTTGGCACCTTGTCCTGACCTTTATCTCTCTTTATCCCTCTTTATGTTGCTATCCTCTGGATATGTGCGCATCATCAATTAGGTCCAATCTGATAAAAAATATATATTTATATGGTGTACCATGTGTGTGCATACATGCATGTATGTAATCAGCCTAAACGAGAGGCATACAAGGCATTCACCTTGGCCCATGCTTTTCAAAGTTCTCTGTAGACCTAGTTTTAAACAAAATGCTTAATTGCACCAATGTTCCCTGAAACTTCGGTCAAATCTCATTTTGCTCTCTCAAATTTAAAATAATCCACTTTCATCCCTTGATCGAGGTTTGGTGACTCACTTTGTCCCCTGCCATCAACTCCATCCAAAACTCTGTTAATTTTAATGACGTGGCATGGGTGTTTTTGTAATTCTATACATGTGGATCATTACTCACCAATTAAGTGAGTGATGTGGCAAGTGGAGCCCCCCTCCACATAGATTAAAATATAATTAAATATTTTAAAATTTAAAAAATTAAAAAATCATAAAAATTACCTTAAAAAAAATTAGAACTAAATATTCTAATAATTAAAAACACTACCCAGCAGCCCCAATCCCTCCCACCCGAAAAATCCTTCACGAATGGCTTCACAATCACCGTTGGTGAATACCAGGTTGGATCTCAGATTGCATTGGTGAATACCAAGGTGGCGACCACTCTGCTGGTCTTAGGATATGGCTATGGAATTAGGAGAAAGTTAGTGAGATGGCGTGTTTTGAGGGGTTAGCCTTAGTCCGATACAGAAACAGAGGGGGAGAGAGAAGGATGGAAAGAGTTGGAGAGAAGGAGAGGTCGGGATGGGGATGCGACGGCTGGGGATGAGCTCAGGGAAGGCTGCAATAGGGGTGGGGTGGGGGTGTACGCTGCTCTGGATTTGTTTGTTTTTTAATTTTATTTTGTTTATATGTATTTTTTTATGTTTTTATTTTTATTTTTAATTATTATAATATTTAATTACGTTTTTATCTATGTGGAGATAGGCTCCACTTGCCACGTCACCCATTTAATTGGTGAGTAATGATCCATATATACGAAATTATAAAAATACCCTTGTCACGTCATCAAAGTTAACAGAGTTTTGGATGAAGTTGACGGCATGGGGCAAGATGGATCACCAAACCTCAGTCAATGGATGAAAGTGAGTCATTTTAAGTTTTAGGGGGTAAAGTGGGATTTGACCAAAGTTTCAGGGGGCATTAGTGTAATTAAGCTTAAACAAAACACATAAAACCAATAAAATTCTCTCTTAGGCTGCAAAAACCCCTAAGATTTTGTGTGTGGATCCCTAAACCGGCCGATAAGACCCTTATATGCTCAAAAACAAAAGAAACATAAAGCCTATCAGCAGTCAATCTCTCTCTCTCTCTCTCTCTCTCTCTCTCTCGCTCTCTCTCTCTCTCTCTCTCTCCTCTCTCTCTCTCTCTCTCTCTCTCAATGACGGACCCATGAATTTTTATAGGGGTAGGCTAAATTTTTTTATAGAGGAAATATTATAAGCATTTTTCTCTTGAAACAAAAATGTAAATAAAATTTTATAAATCAAACAAAGCCACATTACGTGCAATATAACACAAAGAAGTACAAATATAAATAAATACCAAATCAAACACATTGTCCAACTTTAAAAATTAGATTGCAAACAATTTAAAGAGCTTACCTAGTGAAGTGGAACCCTTCTCTCTTTGAGTGTATCAAAATCACTTTTTTTAAAGAATGAATAAATAGTTTTTCCTCTCTTTAGCGGTTTATTATCATCATGTGACATGATATCCTAACAAGAAATACTAGACACTAAAAATCATATATGCTAATTAATAATTCAAGTTGCAAAAATAAAACATATATCAACAATCTCCAAAAGTTTTCACTGAAACCCTAAATCATAAAAACTTAACAACAATTAAAATTGGAAATTGAATATATATAAAATAAATACAAAATTTACCAAGACCGAAGAACCCACTGAAGATAGGTTGGTACAATTTTTTAGAGGAGGAGAGCTATTTCCTCTAGGCTTTCAAGGTTCAAATATGGTGTTTATGGTGGCTAGAAGAATTTTTTTGATGTTTGCTCTCTGTGGGTGTAGCTCAGCTGGTAGAGCCTTAGCGTGAGTTATACTTCTAATCAAATTTATATAGGTTTGGATTGATGTTTATTATTTCCTATATGCTTTAAGAGTGGGCTTATTTTAAATAGATGGCTGAGCTATTATTAGTTTATTTGTAAATGATAAAAAATGCATGTGTGGGCTATATTTATTTGGTCCAGTTGGCTATATTTATTTAAGTAAGAATAAGCCTATAATAATAAGACCATGTTCAATATTTTATAAATGTTCCCCTGGGCCACACCATCCTAGGCTTAGGTCCGCCCTTGCTCTGTCCTAAAGAAAATTACTAACCTCTCTCTCTCTCTCTCTCTCTCCCCTAGAGAAAATTACTAACTTTCATTTTAAAAAGTAGGTTTTTATTTTTATTTTTATGGATCTCTAAGTACAGAGGAAAGCTTAAGTTCACAGACTTGAAAGATATTGAAGCTAAAGGGAAAGCACAAGAAAGGTTTTTTTTTACCAAACAAGCGATAGTATTTTATTAGATCAATTGAAAAAGTACATAGAGAGCCATCTTGATTAGCAATATGACAGATATAGGTAAAGCTTCCCCAGTGACCAGAGTAAGCTCTATATCTGAAACAATTCAGAGAGAATAAATAGCAAAGAACTTGTCTAAAAATCCCTATCTATCGTCTAAGTTGTCCTAGATCAAGTCAGTTACATCAAGGACAAAACATGGCCGCTAACCGGCATAACTCTCCTAAAGAAACTTAACTAACCAAAAAATTCAACAAATTTTTGGGAATTACAAGAGAAAACCATACAACTCATAGAGTTTCTGAACTTCAATAACAAACTACACCAAATATAAGAAACCAAACAATGCTGACTAAAGGAGCAACAACACTTTGCTCTATAAATTATGCACATCCAAAGCCATCCAGATCCTTAAAAGAGACAACCATATCTGCCAAGAGGAGAGAAGAGCATCATGGTATGCCAAGGCATAGGAGAATATCAAAAATCTGATGGGGAATAAACCCTAGATCTAAAGCTTCTCGTTCTAAATCTCCTCCACCCTTTGCCACACGCTTTAATGTGAAAATCGACGGAATCATAACCAGCCACAACCAAATCTATAAAAAAACAAAAACAAAAAAACAAAAAACAAAAGAAGCAAGAGGAAAGTAGGGGCAAGGAGGAAAGCACAAGAAAGTTTGGTGAGGGGAAAAATAGAAAGAAGGAATGTACACAGCCAAAAATGCGAAGCAACAGAGTCATTGTCATGTACACAAGAAAGTTTTGTTTAGGCTTGCTGTTTTCATGTCAAAATTTGTTTGCCTTTATGCCATTATTAGTGAAGGGCCAAATAGCCCAAACTAATCTAAGTGAAGGGCTAAATAGCCCAAACTAATTAAATCAAGTGTTGTGGCCAATAAGCCAATATGCTAAGTGTACAAGGCCAATTAGCCTACACAAAGCCATGTACTATTCTCCTTCAATCTAATAAAATCACTTTGTTATCCCCTACAAATCCAACAAAGAGAAACAGAGATCCATAAAGTCGGGCTTTGCTTTGAATTAATATTTGGTGGTCATCACCATGTGATTCTAGATAGCGATGACGAAATTTTCTTATTAATTTGATCTGCTAGCTCTCTTTAATAAGGCTGTTTACTTATGAAGATTACTGAGATGGATGAATGGTCTAAGAATGTGCAGACTGATCTTATGCAGATCTGTAGGTCCTCAACAAATATTAATGGTAGAGCCTAGAGAGCCATAGATTTAGACTTGAAGGCTTTTTGCTTTGAATGCGTGGTTGCTTCAAGCATAGTCATACCATTTATATATCCCAACGACCAAGCACCTAATAAAATTAAATATGCATTCAAATTTGATGAATTCCATTAATATTCCACCATGCATGTGTTTCTTTCGTATCCTTTGGCTTTTCTTTTCGCTCTTTTCCATTAATTATAATTTGATACATATATATAGCTTTTACTGAGGGATGCCTCAAATTAGCTTATTTGAGGGACACATTTGTAGGGTTCACTTTGTATTGTATTTCACTAATTCAAACCGTCTATGTTTTATATAATCATTTAAAGATACCTCTACAAAAAATCACTTGGATCCAACATCATTTGACTACACAATTATGTTATTAAATTTTAGTACTTTCTTGAAACACCATATTAATTGATTTTATAGGATATAATTGGATGTCGAAACGGTTTCCGATTTGTTTATTTTTTGCAATGATGATCTATGAATGTAGACTAAAAAATAGATAGTTTGGATCTCGGAAGAAAATTCATAAAGTACCCTGAAACATGTCCCTTAATAGAAGAAAACTATATATATATATATATAAAACTCATTAAAATGATATAAAAAGAACAATTTCTGCATACGTATCAAAGAGACGTGTGGACTTGTTCATAAGAAGAAATGACTCCTTACCATAAAGAGCAAGTATTACCTTTCATTAATTCCCAAAGTGCATGCAACTTGTGCGTCAAATTGATTTCTTCTTTTGCATCAATGATTGGATTTTTGGATATATGTTGAGGTGACTGACCCTTCTGATTCTGAGAACGCGTATACACCAGGCAGACCAGCCATTGAGACGTCATTTTAGACAGAATATTCATTTCTAACACTAAAATAACAGGTGCAAAATTGCAGTCGATAGGCTGTCTTTGTCTGAACATCACTCCAAAAAAGTGTCATACACTTTCGAGCGATGCGCGCCACATAATAATAATATATACACACACACGCATAAATAAATATAGGCATAAACATCTTATTGTCATTTCACCTACTGAAAAGTTATACTATCATCATGCTCAAGCTCAAGCTCAAGACAGAAAAGGAAAGTTTTGAAAGGAATAACTTTCTTTTATCGATTGCATTTCATTACAGCAAGAATGGCCGGACATTAATTGCTGATAAAAACAACTAGTACAATCGAAGTTACAGAACAAAGTACAAAGGATTGGGAAAATTGCAGCATATACACTTCCTGGTTTCCAGTCCTCAAGTCTATGATTTGATGTTCGACAAGCTCAACCTCAGTATTTATAAGCACATGCTGCTTAATTAGAAATAAACAGAAATCCATATAAATTCATGATATATAGTGACTTTAGCTAAGATAACGACATTTAATTCTTATTTCTAATTAGACAGCATGTGTACGAATAAATACCGAGGTTCATCTTGTCGGACGACTATCAAATCATAGACTAATTAAGAGCAGTTTCTGGGTCTGAATGCAAGGCTGTTTGCTTTCGAAACCTCCTTTCTTACTTCTTGCATGGCATATAAAACTGGTAAGTGTAGTAGGTCACCATATTTCCAAGTGCAATTCGTAAATGATACATCAAATTGATGTTATATGATTTAAGACAATAAGATGATGTGGACTCGACCTTATGATATTATTAGACAATTATAATGATTTTCCTAACACAAAAATAGAAAATGAATAACGACTATAGAGACATGATATATTTACAGTTGAAAGTTTGGTGCTTAACGAGTCATTATCTGAATTTTTAAAATAAGAATTGTTATACAATATTAGACAAATAAATACATATAGATATTTTATTATCATTCACTTTAAAAGAAAATATCAGCAACTATAAATATTATCTCGTAGCCAAAAACTATAAGCATTATCATCCTGATACATATCATTTTAGTATCTTCTGGTTAACATTAATTTATTTTTACATTGAAACTCACTGAGTTTGCGTGTCGTCTTCTCCATATTTATCTCCTCACAATGATTTGTGATACAAATTCTTAAAAATTCAATTTCTTATTTAATTTAATTGTATATATGCTTGTATATTTTGATTTTTATCTATTATATTTCAAGCTTTCACCCCTTTTAACTCATGTATAAAACAAACAAAAAAGTTCTAAGGGAGCGGAAGTTCAAAAAAACTACATAAACAAACTTCTGGGTCTATCAACCCCACTCAAATCTTCCCGTAGATAATGTCAAAACCCTTTACGCACACCCTTCCAAATTCCACACCTTAATTCTAGTTTTGAGCCTAGAGCTGCCAAGCTATCTGCAAGTCAATTTTCTTCTCTGTATTTATGAGTAATACTACAGTCTTTGTACATAAGCATCTTCTGATAGCTAGTCACCAAACTGTAATAGGGACACTCTTCCTCCAAATTTGACGTTTCTAAAGAGTAAACGCCTTGACATGCCAACACAATTTATGTTTAATTAGCTTATTGTTGGCGTGAGTTGTAAGTAGGAGATTTGTTATTACATTTTTCTTTTATTGAGTTGACTTTTTCCGATTTGTGTCTAATTATTCTTTGTGCTTGTTGTTGGTGTGAGTTGTAAGTAGGAGCATAATTCAATGTAGCCTTAATTACATATATATTCGCCTCAATATGGACAAGAATAATATATGAAAAATTTCCAAATACCATTATCCTCCACCTTAAACCTTTGCGCTCACTCTTCGACCCAAAATTTAAACCTTAATGTTAGATTGTATCTAGGATTTCGTACCTAGTAGTTGCACACACCAACTAGAATGTAGGAGTAAATGCTCTTATTCACTTAAAGTACAAGTCTTGACATTCATGTGTTTCTTTCCGGAACACCGGGGGCGGGTAATTCATTAATGTTATTAATGTTATTAATGGATATTACTTGACTCCATACATGTTATTAAGGAATTGTTGGGCTGTTTTTGGACAAAATTGGAAAAGATAAAGGCAGAGGCAAGGCACGACAAGGGAAGACAATGCATGACAAAGGCAAAGGCAAATGAAAATGGCAAGGCAACAATAAGACAAGGTGAGGCAAGGCAAGGAAAGTCTAGGCAACTCAAAGGCAAGGCAAAGGCAAAGGGAAAAGAAGGCAAGGGGAAATGAAAAAGGCAAGACAAGGCAAGGCAAGGCAATTGCAAGGCAAGACAAAGCAAAGACAAGACAAGGCATGCGCAATTGCAAGGTAAGACAAGTCATGGCAAAGGCAAGGGAGGGCAAGGCAAGGGAAGACAAGGCAAAGGCAACACAAAACAAGGTAAATCAAGGAAAAGCAAAGCAATGTCAAGGTAATGCAAGGCAAGGCCAGCACAAGGCACCACAACACAAAGGCAGGGTAAGGCAAAGGAAGACAAAACATGGTAAAAGCAAGGCGCATGCCTTGACAAGATAAGGAAAGGTAAGCCAAGCCAAATGGAAGACATTGCTTAGCAAAGGCAAGGCAAAGTCATGGTTAGGAAAGGCAAAGCTAGTCAAGCTAAGGCAAGGCAAGGCAATAGCAAGCTAAACCAAATATGTTATAATCCATATTTTGATTTAGATTTTTATATATTATATCTGTAATTTTGATTCTTTTAATCCATATACAAAACCAACATTTACTAATATTCATTTGAGTAAATACCTTAACTTGGTTATACAATTTTATATAGAATAAAAAAAACTATGAGGTTAGTAGATAAATTAATTTTGTTATATTAGTAGTTAGTAATTAAGATATATGGGCCGTGAATAAAAGAACTGTGGGTTTAGTAGCATTAGAAAGTTTTATAACAAGAGGAGAGAAAAAGAAAGCCCAAAATCAAGATTTGATAATAGAAGTGGATTTCGTAAAAGAGTTGTTGAATGAGAGATTTTATGGATTTCAAAACTTTTCGATGGTTTTCATTATTGGAGAAGACTAAGAAACATTTAAAATTTTTCATGTTTATTTATTTCAAATTAGGAAGTAAAGAATCGGGAACTTAAGACTAGAGTAAGTAAGGAATTCGAATTGGATCAACTATCGACTAGTAGTGGTCCAATTTCTGATTTGAAGATAACCAATTTTAAGGTGAGACACACATATTTTTTATATGTTAGTAAACGTCAGAGAATTCTAAATTGGAATACTTTTCTTCTTATACGTATTCATAGTAAGTAAACATATCATAAATGCTATTTTTGGAAAAATTTCATTCCAAAGAAGCCCAGTAGAATTTTAGAAACACTAATCCGGCCCCTTCCCATTTGCTGACTAAATCATATCATTATTGGGCCTCCCGCATAATCCCTTTCCCGATTATAGGCTGCAGTTATTGGGCCTCCCCCTCAGGGCCGGACTAGATTGAAATTATGGGTTCAGCAAGTTCCCAAAAAGAAAAAAATTAACAAAAGAGGGACTAAAGTGTAATTCTTGAAATTTCACCTCCCTATTAATAATAATATTAATTGCCCAATGCAAAAGCCCTAGCCTCTCTCCCTGAAATTCTCAATCTTCTTCCATCTTCTAGGGTTTGCCAATTTTAGGGCTAACTAGTAAATAGGAAAAGGAAGAGAAACCCTCGATTCGGATCCTATCCGACTTCTTTAGGATCCAACTGATAGCCTTTTGGGTTTCTGCGCTGTTAAGGTTTTTGATTGATGGGTACGGAGAGGAAGAGGAAGGTGAGCTTGTTCGACGTGGTGGACGAGACCTCAGTCTCATCAGCGAAGATGAGTAAATCGAACGGTGGTGCAGGAGCCACAGCGAATCATAACGCGGTGAGCAATCTGATCAATAGGTGGACCGGCAAGCCTTACTCGCAGAGGTATTATGAGATCCTTGAGAAGAGGAAGACTTTGCCTGTTTGGCACCAGAAAGAGGAGTTCTTGCAAGCTCTCAAGGCCAGCCAGTCTCTTATTTTGGTTGGTGAGACTGGTAGTGGTAAAACCACCCAGGTTTGTTTCTGCAAGGCTTTTTACTTTAATTTGGTCCCTATGGTAGCATTGAAAACTTAATACAAAGTGAACGGAAATTTTGCACTTGGTAATGAATATTTATTCGTAAAATGAGCTAAGATTACGGTTCTTCTTTGGTTGCTGAAAAACTCGATGAAAAATGACCCTTAAACTGAATAGTAGTTGCATTACCATTGCTGTTAGCTTGGAAATAATAGTTAAATATGGTGTTGTTTAGGAAGGTAAACTGAGAGAAAAGAATGTGGAATGGAAATTTTGCACTTGGTAATGAATATTTATTCGTAAAATGAGCTAAGATTACGTTTCTTCTTTGGTTGCTGAGAAACTAGATGAAAAATGACCCTTAAACTTAATGGTAGTTGCATTACCATTGCTGTTAGCTTGAAAATAATAGTAAATATTGTGTTGTTTAGGAAGGTAAACTGAGAGAAAAGAAAGTGGAATGTTTAAAACTTCTTGTAGTCGTTCACCATGTGTGGCATTTGTGTTTTTAACGCTCAGTTGTGAAACTTATATGATATGCAGTCGACTTATGTTTTGCATGGTAATGATTTAATTCTATATTGCTAGTAGCTTTTGGTTTCATTCCTTCATTTTTTTTTAGTTTGGTAGAATTTACTGATTCACCTAACTGTTTGCTGAACCAAATTTGTCACCCTTGGCAGAGGGTCCCCTTTTACCCAAAGACCAGTGGCTGTTGTGTTATTTGAATGTAGAAGTCTTGGTTTTCTAAAGGCCCTGTTATAAATAGTTCTCTTTTTTGCTGAATGTTATAATGTGTGCCACTTTCCCAACACAACTAAGAATATTACCTACTGGAAGTTCACTAAATAAAATATGTGCTTCTCTATTGCAGATCCCTCAATTTGTTTTGGAAGCTGTTGATTCGGAAACTCCAGATAAACGTAAGAAGATGATGATTGCATGTACCCAACCCCGTAGAGTGGCTGCAATGTCAGTGTCCCGTCGTGTTGCTGAAGAGATGGATGTAACCATAGGAGAAGAGGTTGGTTATAGCATCCGTTTTGAGGACTGCAGCAGTGCCAGAACAGTGCTGAAGTAAGCTCAACTTTTTTTTTTCTGTTTTCTTTACGGAATTTTTTAGCTGAGAGCCAAGGGATACATAATTTACATTTTTACATTTTTACATTTTTTTGTGTGGCAGGTATCTAACGGATGGAATGCTTTTAAGAGAAGCAATGACAGATCCACTATTAGAGCGATACAGTGTGATAATTCTTGATGAGGCTCATGAAAGAACTTTAGCAACAGATGTTCTATTTGGGCTTCTGAAGGAAGTATTGAGAAACAGACCTGACTTGAAGCTGGTTGTGATGAGTGCTACACTTGAGGCTGAAAAGTTTCAGGGTTATTTCAGTGGTGCACCACTCATGAAAGTTCCTGGAAGGCTTCATCCAGTGGAAATTTTTTACACTGAGGAACCTGAAAGGGATTATCTGGAGGCAGCAATTCGAACGGTCGTGCAGATTCATATGTATGAGACCCCAGGAGATATACTTGTTTTTCTAACGGGAGAGGAAGAGATAGAAGATGCGTGCCGCAAAATTAACAAAGAAGTTGGAAACCTGGGTGACCAGGCTGGTCCTGTGAAAGTGGTCCCTCTATATTCAACTCTTCCTCCAGCTATGCAACAGAAAATATTTGATCCTGCTCCTCCTCCCATAAATGAAGGCGGAATTCCTGGAAGGAAGATTGTAGTGTCAACAAACATTGCAGAAACTTCTCTCACTATAGATGGAATTGTTTATGTTATTGATCCGGGATTTGCTAAACAAAAAGTTTATAACCCACGAGTGCGTGTTGAATCCTTGTTGGTATCTCCAATTTCTAAGGCAAGTGCACATCAGAGGTCAGGGCGTGCTGGAAGAACTCAGCCAGGAAAATGTTTCAGACTATATACTGAGAAAAGTTTCCATAATGATCTTCAACCACAGACATATCCAGAAATATTGAGATCAAACCTTGCAAATACAGTTCTTACTTTGAAGAAACTAGGAATAGATGATTTGGTTCATTTTGATTTTATGGATCCCCCTGCTCCTGAGACATTGATGAGAGCATTAGAGGTTTTGAATTATTTGGGCGCATTGGATGATGATGGTAACTTGACGAAGCTGGGGGAGATTATGAGTGAGTTCCCGTTAGATCCTCAGATGTCAAAAATGCTGGTTGTTAGCCCCGAGTTCAACTGCTCAAATGAAATTTTGTCAATATCTGCAATGCTTTCAGGTACTTATTTCTTTATTCTTTCCGCTTTCTCAGTTGTGTCTGTCTTGGTTCAGGTCAGGCTGCATCATTCTTGGTTGCATGCCGATTGATCTGTTATGTGTACATACATTTTTGTGTGCACATGTTGTCCTGACCGCTACAACTGCATGCAAATGCATATGCATGTGGTTGAAGTGGTACTGTGTCAAATTAGGTTGTCATCAGCAACTGTCTTGTCTGGGTTCCATGCCCCCGGTTGGCATGTACCTATGGATTTTTAAGTAAGTGCTGATGCAGATAGTTGCAGTTTCTCAGTATTATCTCATGAAGCAAATGGTGTCGTCTCGCCTCTATGCATCTGCTAACGTTCCATGGGCCTCGTCTGTGATAACCAATTTATTTCTTAGTACCCAATTGCTTTGTCCGGCCTAGGGAGGCTCAAAAAGCTGCAGACGAGGCAAAAGCTAGGTTTGGACACATTGATGGGGATCATCTCACGCTTCTGAACGTGTATCATGCATACAAGCAAAACAGTAAGTACATCTATCTGTTTCTTTCAATACTGATTTGAAGTTATTTTCTTCAGTGTCTTGGTATAAAATTCTTATTTTTGAATGGGTTGTAGATGAGGATCCATCGTGGTGCTATGAGAACTTTGTCAATCAGAGGGCATTGAAGTCTGCAGACAACGTCAGGCAGCAACTAGTGCGCATAATGGCCCGGTTTAACCTGAAGTTATGTAGCACTGATTTCAATAGTCGTGACTACTACATAAACATAAGAAAAGCCATGCTAGCTGGATATTTCATGCAGGTGGCTCACCTGGAACGCACTGGACACTACCTGACAGTGAAAGATAACCAGGTATGTGAAATTATTCTTTACTTTTATCTTTCAATTTGGACCATCTGTCATCCCTTTTTTCCCTTATCAGTGTTTGTGTTTGCTCCTAATATGTATAATATGTATGATCTTATTTGGCAGGTGGTACATTTGCATCCGTCAAATTGCTTGGATCATAAACCAGAATGGGTGATTTACAATGAATATGTCTTGACAAGCAGGAATTTTATCCGTACAGTCACAGATATTCGTGGGGAGTGGTTAGTCTCTCTCTCTCTCTCTCTCTCTCTCTCTCTCTCTCTCTCTCTCACAAGGTTATATATATATATATATATATATATTTTATAGCTGTTGAGTAATGGTTAGAGTCATTTGTTAAGGTGAATCTAAATTTTTGTTTCGTTATCCTGTTTTTAATCTCTCAAATTTTATATTTCTACAGGCTTGTTGATATAGCATCCCACTACTATGATTTGGCGAATTTTCCCCAGTGTGAGGCCAAGCGTGTTCTTGAGAAGCTTTACAAGAAGCGGGAGGACAGGGATGAAAACAAAAACAGAAAATGAAGTTGATACCCATGGATCTTCGGAATCTGCAGATTCTTGTCTGAGTAACAAAGCGCAATCAGTGAGAGCTGGTCTAAGATTCTTCATCATATTTAAGCATTTTGCGTCTCTCAGCTGCTCATTTGTCATTGTAGCTGGGGAAAGGCCTTCAATGTTTCTGTAACATTTTCTTGGAGTATTAGTTTCCCTAGTCTATAGTTTTGTATCGTCTCCACTATTGTTATTTAATCTTGGATGTGATGGTCTTGCTGGTATTCAAGATTAAGAAGCAGTTTAAAATTTGACATAAAGGCGTACGCAGCTTTATATTATGATTTTTTTATCAATGGAAGTCTTTTTTCTGCCCACTACCAAAGTGCTAGCAGAAGAATGAAAAAGAGAAGTAGCATCAAAAATGAAAAAAAATGAAAGACTTGTGTTGGATTCTTGGTGGACGTGAAAATCTGCAACCTTCAATTGGTGGTTCATCTTATTCTATATTGAGACTCGACCCAGCTACCTGCATTCTGCTTTTGAATGTGTTTCTCTTTCATAATTTTCCTAAACTCTAATACACTGTCCCATACCCCTCTTTCGCCATGGATCTTTGAAAGCGTTGAATATATTGCGGGATGGTCATTTCTCAGTTTCTCAATTTCTTTAGCAGCAAACTCGCCAAGTTGAAGACTTGAATGCAAGCCACATGCACCAAGTAATGCAACCCAAATCACAACATCCGGCTGAAATGGCATCCCCTGTATCAATTTCTCCGCTTCCTCTAGGTTGCCTGCTCTCCCATAGAGGTCGACCATGCATGCGTAGTGCTCGACGTTTGGTTCGATTCCAAACTTTGCCTTCATGGAGTTAAATAGTTTTTCACCCTTCTCACCATCCCACCATGCCCACAAGCCGATAACACGTTTACAAATGTAACTTCATCTGGCCTTACACCACACTTGGTCATTCTCTCAAACTTGTCCAATGCTCTTGTTGCGAGTCCATGCCTCGCAGAACCTCCTATGATTGAATTCCATGTCACCAAATTTTTTCTCGGCATGGATCCGAAAACACAAAATGCCGCTTCAATGTCCCCGCATTTTGCGTACATATCAACAAGCGAGGTTGACATGATGACATCCTCCGGCGTACCAAGCTTTAAGATGCTCGAATGAACTTGCTGCCCCAGTATAAGTGAAGAACAACCAGCACATGCATCTAACACACTTGAAAATGTAAAGTGATTCGGCAGAGCCCTGGATTTCAACATCAAGAGGAAAAGATCCAGAGCATCCATAAATTTCTGATTTTTCACATACCCACTGATCATAACAGTCCATGAAACCACATTCTTTTCTCTCATTTTGTCGAAAACAGAGCGAGCTTTGTTGATCCTCTTATTGTTGATATACCCGCTTACCAAACTAGTCCAAGAAACTATATTCCTCTCCGGCATGACATCAAAAACTCTTTGAGCCTCGAGCGTGCACCCCAGTTCCATGTAACTCGAAACCAATGCATTCGAAGACGAGACATCCTTCATCGGAATCTCATCAAACACTCTGCTTAAAGCAATCTGATCCCCTATATTTGCATACCCTTTGATCAGCGCTGATCCAACAAACACGCTTGAGCTGAGCGCCAAACGGACTACAAGGGCATGAATCTGCGATACCAAAACATTAAACGCTGTGCCCAGAAAGGCATTGAGTACCGTCGAGATAGTATACTCACTTGGTCTAAAGTCATCTCTTCTCATTTGCAAGAAGCATCGATTAACTCCGTGTGGGTTTTTGGCTTTCTGCAAACCGGTCAACATGGTGTTCCACGAAACGACGTCTTTCACGAGCATTTGATCGAACAGGTCCTGTGCAATTGGCGTTTGATCATTTCTCACATGCGCTGCAAGCATTCTGTTGCATGACAAAATGTTCCGGGATGGAGGATTTCCATCAAAATACAGACGCGCATGGTCTGAGCCTCGAGTGTCGAGCATGGGACTGAAACTGGCTTTTGAAAGTGTACAAAGCTGGCGGTAATCTTTTAGGAGCAGGGATCTCTCTAACCTGCGCATGACGCATAGTCAACTAATATCCTGATTAACTGATTTTTAATGCAGCTAAGTCCTTCACAAATTTCACATTAAATTTGTGAAGGAAAAGAGAAAGTGTTAATTTGGAAGTTAAACAAACTGGGTTTGCACGAGCACATGTTTAAAATTAGGGTGCAATGCAAGTTATGAAGAAGAAGAGAAAAGAGAAAGGTTAAGAGAATGCTGCGAGCTGTCAAAAGAAATGTGGAGAGAAAAACTGGAAGAAAGGCGCAGCTCCAAAGTGAGACAACATATCTCATGTAGATTTGATGTTAACATCACGATTTGGTTGGGTTTAGTTTAGGCCTCAAACTAGTAGCGTAATCGAACCAGACTAATTCTTTGGTTGGGTTGTTTCCTTCATAAAAATTTAAGCAAATATGTTATATTTTCTTACCGTTGAAGATGGAGAAATTTTGAGAGAGATGCGATTTTAAATCCGAATGGTTCTACGATATCAATATGTGATGAAAATCGATAAGTTGGTTCAATTCAGTCTAACACTATACTTTTTGAGTGGAAAAACCGAACCAAACTGTTCGTATTGTTTTGATTTAATCGGTGTGAACCGTTTGGATGACTTCTTCCCAACCCCTAAACCCTAAACTAAAGGAATGCATGTTTCATTTCATGCGTTCTGTTCAATGCTCATTGGCAGCCGAAAAACTGAATATTGTAACTGGGAATTCAAATATTGCTACAACACAACCCGATTACTATCAGCGATGGAGTAAAGTGCTATCAGTTTGGTATACATACATACATATATAATGCAAAAACATAATGGAGCTTCCTTATACAATTTAACATCTTATACTGGTGATGGCTCAAGAGCATTTTCGTCCATCCAGAGTTTGGTAGAGTTGATCAATTTCAACCTGTAAAATGCCAAGTTGTCAGTTGCTTTACAGTTGTTTAACAATTAACAGTAATTTGTTGACACCCAAAAAAAAACAGTAATTTCACAATGAGGAATGCCAATTCACCTTGTAATACTTGAGCAGTTGATGTCTTTTCTTTTTCATAGTTGCAGTCACCAAGTCTCTTTCCATGTCAAGGGGGCGAGGTTCTACAATGACTCCTTTGATATGTTCAAAGCCACGCAACTGGTTGAAACCACAAATAAATAGAAACTAATCAATATTTTTCCATCTCAACAAAAGATTGCAATTCATGCAGTAAGGTATTAAAACTAGAGACACTACTTACCTTGTTTCTCTCAGCTGTTAACTTAAGCTCGGCCATGATATGATTCTTTAGCTGATCAAGAGAACAAATATCAGAAAATGAACCCATGTGACCATTTAAATAAGCCCATTTCTTGGTAGTTTCTTCTTCTGGTACCACCACTGCAACAAGCATGGACTTGAAGCTGTTTCCGTAAACCCAGATCTTCGAAATAAAAAGAAAGGAACACAGCAGCGCCAAACAGCGCATTAGTTAACAGAAGCTGGTGGAATACGAATAATGGAAACATGAGTGCACAGATCTTGTATATGACTTTAAATTTAACCAGGATGTAGAGAAGAGAAGCTCACATCTTCAATAATAGAAGCAATGCCATAAACATTTTCCAAATACTCAAGTGCAACATACTCTCCTTGGGATAGCTTAATGAGATTCTTTTTCCTATCAATAACCTTGATGGTTCCATTTGGAAGTATTTCACCTATGTCCCCTGAGGAATATTGACGATATATATTTAATATTTTCAATGAAATTAATTACTGGAAATCAATGGCTGTAAAGATATGCTGATCATGATGAACCTGTATGGAACCAGCCATCTTTTATGGCTTCGCTTGTCAATTCAGGACTTTTGTAGTAGCCGGAAAAAACAGTCTTCCCTCTCAGACATATCTCACCACAAGGAGGATTCCCAAGTGGATTGTATCCCATTTCTGGAACCTCATCCAGGCGCAGCTCATTGTATACAGATACAGAACCAACAGCTCCAATCATGCACATTTCATCCGGAAAGCCAAGAGTAGTCGGTCCACAAGTTTCGGTCAACCCTGAAAGAATTATTCACAACTATCTGACCACTTCAATTATGAATATACAAGCTGTATAAGAATTCCATGATTCAAAATCATCCATAGGCGAGAATGCTATGATGGCCTGTACTTATATACATATACTATGTTTACTGCTGAAAACAGAGTTGTTTACCATAGCCTTGGACTACAAAAGCACAGCAAGTAACCCGCAAGAATTCTTCGATCTCAGAGCTCAAGGGTGCACCTCCAGAAATTATAAGTCGAAGCTGACCGCCCAGCCTAGCTTTGATCTTAATAAATTGAAAATGAAAAGTAAGACCATAATGTGGGAAGACTTGACCCATTTCATTCAAGTAGGTTAATGATCTAAAAGTTCAATGTTAGAACTAGAGTAGAGGCCCAAGATACTATATATTGTGATCCAAAGTCTTCAAATTTCCAATGTGAGATTTTATATTTTTAACAGTTAAGGGTTTATGGCCAAGGAATATTATGTCTTATTTAACAAATTAGAAGGATTAATCCCCTGAGACTTGAACTTTCATTTTTGTGTTGGAATCCATAAGATCACATATAAGTAGCTTGAAAGCTCCTTTTGTGGGAAGATGTTTTTTTTCTTTTTTTATAAGTTAAAATATCAAATCAGAGGAGAAAAATAGAACCTTCCTGAAGGCTAACAGATCTGCTAATGGTGATGCATTTTTGTTCTTATACCCCATATTCATCCAAGCAAGTTTGCTGTATACCAAAAGAAGGGTTAGCTTCATATATAAGTGAATACCGTGGAACTAATAAATGCCTACTTACTATCTGTAGAGAATGTCAAAAATCTTCCTTCTTCTGGGATTGAGCTCTAACACTGCTTTCTTTATACCTGAAATACAGTTGAGTTTGAATTACCACATCGAACTCAAATCAATAAAACTATATAGTTTTATTTTTCAGACAGATCACAGGCAAAAAATTTCTTGCCTTCGTGTATTTTTTCAAAAACTCTAGGCACCCCAGCAAGAAGCGTTGGCTTTAACTCCATCATATCATCCTTCAATGCATTAAGATCCTTCAAATAAGAGAATCAATGCAATTATGATTAACAGAGGGGATGAAAGGTACTTAAAGAGTCTTGAGTGAAATGGAACATCAGAAGGTGAATTGAGAGCTCCATCCTCCCTGATATCATTTGGATTCTTGGACAGTTTGGGAAGTATATGAAAGATTTTAACTTATTGCATTCAAGACACAAAAAGTTCTGGTAGCATACCCCATGATAGTAGCCAACAGAAGCACCATTTCGGAAAAAATACTCCTCAATCACGCGATCCAGGATATGAGCCAGGGGAAGGAAAGATAGATACACATCATCCACTGTCATCTACTCAACATCATAAATTAATGCACATGTCAGTAGAACAAAATTAATTCTTTTTTGTTTAGCTAACAAGGTATTCAGGTACTACTTGAAAACATGGAAAAGGGAAACACATGTATGGTATAGAAAACAACGTATCAGAGCCTTCAAAGGATCATATTTTATGCTTACCTTGTCCTCAAATTGTTCCATAAAAAGGTCAATCCCTCTCACACCATATGCAATATTTTCATGTGTTATCACAACACCTTTAGGATCTCCACTGGTACCGCTTGTGTACATAATTGCGCAGATATTTTCAGTCTGGGGTGGAAGAATCTCTGACGGATTTTGTTTACCCTGAGAACGAAAAACTCCACTCATGACTGGGGGAAAAAAAGAAGCAAAAGGGGTAGTAGTGATATGCAATAAAGACAGTCATGGCCATACATTTTACAGTTACAATTTACACCGAGGAAAACTGGGATTCTACAGGTTTAAACTTTAAATACAGAGCATTACTGGTACTTGTCTATTTCAAAGCAATATAAAGTTGTTTTGCTGGTTCTTTTGATCAAAAGAGAGAAACTAACCATCTCGATGAACTCGTTCCATGAGTATGGTTTTATCCCAAGCTGCACTGCTTTTTCCTTCTCTTCCTCTGTCAATGAAGTGAAGCAAACCATAACTGCAAAACACAAGCAAGATCAGTACAAGGCCTTCTAGCAGCGGCTGGGAACATAGATATATAGTCTTCCTCACCTTTTAGTCGTTGAAGAGATCTACAATCCGGGTTCAATAGCTGCAAAGAAAAGTAATTGTTTCCAATCAGAACCATCTAGTGCTTGTGAAACTGATCATGTATATGATTCGATTAAAATGCAGGTTGAGTTATTTATTTCTCACTTCTTTCACTTTCTTATCTTGGATGAAAACAACCTCAACCTCTGCATGATCTACAATATAATTTACAGCTCCCGGACCTGCATTATAAGTAATAACACAATAATTAAGACTTCTAATAAAGTCTTGGCATCAATGGACCACTTCAAATATGAAAGTAAAAGGATACATCTCATGGTTTCAAGAATGAAAAGTTACCGAAAACAGAATTCCAAGCTTTCCTAAGTTTTACAGAAGGTAGGAAAGTTATTGATTCAAGACTGGCAGGCTAGATAGCCTCAAGAAAAATGCCAATGAATAGGGTAATGTACATAATAGTTGTCCTGCTTCTCATTTAGAAAGGCAGATATACTATACAAACTCCAAATGAGTATTGAGCCTCAATCGCAAGGAAAAAGGAATCGGCCTGTCATAAAGGTGGTATTCTTGGCAAAGCTAATAAGTACATTGTGCATATTATAATATCTTGATCCACCCTTTGCATAAAATCAATTGGACAATTGAGGACAAAAAAGTTTAAATCTTTACTTTTGTGTGTGTGTGTGTGTGTGTGTGAGAGAGAGAGAGAGAGAGAGAGAGCCTGAAGGCAGGAACTCTTCTCAAAAGAAAGAATATTGTTTTACCAAGGGTATCGTAGAGAGGCACACAAATCAAACTGTGAGCATTGCAAGCCTGCATAAATTTTAAACAAGTTGTTCATCACATGGTTGATTTATACAACAGAATCATAATAAGAAGAGAGAAGAAAATTAGCAAAATGCAAAACGGGATTAAAGAGCATGCCCAAACCAACCTCCATTGCCATAATCCATTGGGGACAATTTGAGCCATAAATCCCAATCCGGGAGCCCTGTTACAAGATAATCATCAAAGCCAGGAAAGAGACTAGTTTCAGCTGCCAAAATCCACAACTATGTATTATGCTTACTGGTTCAACACCGGATAATCGTAACGCAGAACCAACATGCAGAACTTCCTCATAAACCTCCTTGTATGTTTTCCAAATGTAAGGCCCTGGCTATAGATCATATAATAGTACTGAAGTCAAAAATCAATTTCCAAATCTACTAGATGTGCTGGTAAATTATCTCTGCATTACTTAAATATACTTCACTTCACCTTCCCATCAACAATTTTACGCCATCCAAGCATCCGATTTCCAGAATACTTCCGAACAGATTGACTGCGCATCAACATTTTTAAATTGTCAAAGAAATGAACTGTGTACAAGGATCTGCTTCTACTGTAAACAGGTAATTATCTTCATAGGAATTAATGACTACTGTAACAGTAAAAGTCTAATTAGTTCACACATTCAAGTACATCTGGTAGTTATCATTACAAAACATTATTTAATTACCTGAAAATGTCCCAAGATGAACTTATTTGGCGATCGGGTGGGGGGAAAAGCATTTTGGGAGAGTAAATTACGGTACACCGGACCAACTGAAGGCTTGCCATCCTGGCCAACCCTTCCTTCCTCAACTGGAACTGAGAAAATCTTCATTGGTTTTTGTTGTGAAACCTGGATGTACAAAATAGAGTCATGGGAGCACACACAACCACATATACATATGAAGTATTCAGTAAATGTGTGAACAATTGACTAGAAGGTAAGACCGAATTAATGAAGATGGAAGCACCTCCTCCTACTCCTACCTATATATTGTCAAAATCAGCGGCCAATGTAAAGCAAACCCAAAAGTTTAAACTGTTCAGAAAATAACACTGTAACGTAAACCACGAGCGCTATCAGCTTTCATTGGGCAAGCCCTCCGAAATTCTGGTACCACCATATCCATGGTTTCCACTAAATTAAATAGTTTAAACTGAAAAGTAGAATTAATTAAGTTGCAAATCTGTAAAACCGTATTACAGTCAAATTATTTTAACAAAAATAAATAAATTACTGATCAACCTATGGGCTGAATAGCCAACCCACATTAATTAGTACACACTAATCACTGATTAGTGCAGCAAAATTTTAGCAAACCGTCTGAGGTGCTTGAATCTACAGGGGAGAAATGAATTTATTTTATAACAAAAATTTAAAATTATAACAAAAAGTCATTGAACAGTCAAAAAAAAGGAAAATATTTAACTGAAGTAGTACCCTAAAAACAACATGCAGAAGGGGGGAAGTGTTTGTCGGGGGTGGTGGGGGCCCGGCGGCGGGTGCAGAGTAGATGAGAGTTTTTTTTTTTGTCTGAAGAGTAGATGAGAGTCTTTAACAGAAGTAATTTATAATCTCAAGTCCCTGACAACTATAATTGATATCAATCCAACCAAACACACAGAAAACAAGGCTGACATATACAACAACACAACCACATTTGACACCCTTAAGGGGTTCAGAAAACAAAAACATCCTAACGCACACCATTATATGCATACAAAATCCTTGTGAATCCAAAAACATACTTAGTACAAACATATACAAATCTTTGACTATAATAAGTATACCTGCATGCATTTGCGTCTTTCTGTGTGTGTGTGTGTGTGTGTGTGTGTGTGAGAGAGAGAGAGAGAGAGAGAGAGAGAGAGAGAATTATTACTACTTACAGAGGAATGAATATTGGAATGGAGCTTGGAAGTGAGGTCATGCAAATGGTGGTGGTGGTGGTGGTGCAGCTTCAAATATTTATGGAGTGAGAAACAGGAGAAGGATATGGACAATGATAATAACTATTTGGTTGAAATAATAGGTGGGAAGGATATAGGTCATTCAATTGTTCACATCACCCAGCCTCCCTAACTTGGATCATTTTGATCATCATTTATGACGATTTACATATATAAGTCCTCCACAAAACTTATCTTTTCTTTTTCATCCTACATCATTTGTACTAAAAGGACAAATAAAGTGAAACCGGCCATGTGCACTAGAAAAAACAGGACTTGATTAAGAATTCTGGGTTAGGGAGGGATGATATTATAGCTTAATTGTAGTAATGTTTACAATAATAAACTATATTCTATAAATGACCCTGCCACAATTTCTGTAACGTCTTTATCTTCTTAACCAATAACAACCAACCACTCTTTTTTTAATGAAAAAAAAGGTTTAGGGGAAATTAGCTACTCTCACTACCAACGCTAGGGCATACCCACAACTTCGAGTTGGAATGACTTACGCATGGCACCCAAATGTCAGCTGCCACGGGTATGAATTTATGTAGAAAATTACAAATCGCGCATCAATGAGGACTATTGACAACGGGACTGAGGATCTCAACCATCCACTCTCTGTTACTGAGTGACTGAGGATCTCACAGTGCTGCCCCTGCATATATATGTTCTCCAAAACAAAAATCAAAACCTACCCAGACAGCTTTATGATTTCTTCTGCCATTGAAGTAATGGCACTCAGGCGGTAGTTGCACGGGTAAAAACAAAGACTCATTATGTACCTTAATTACTTGCACAGGTGAAGTTGATGGATGGTCAAATTTAAAGATGTTGGGTACTAAATTGATGAAATTGAAACCTTAAGGAAGAGTTATGAAAATTAGTTAGAGAGAGAGGGAGAAGAATTTATTTGGGCACCACACAAAAGTGGAACAAAAAGAGGAAAAGCTCTTCCCACCCGTACCAACTACCAAGTGAACCAGAAGAGCAGCCTCTCTTGGTATACTTTTTGAACCACAACCCAACGTTGCTATACTTTTCATTTGGTTGAGGAATTAATTCTGTCCTTTAAACTTAGAAGACGATAGATAAGATATTGGACAGCACACATTCATGGAACGCCAAGACTTTGACTTGGTTAGGTGCATGCTTTTAATATTTGGAGCTTGTTACCTTCTCTCTTACTTTTTCTTTTGGACCTTCTCTATTTTTTACTTGACATGTGTCATTCTCCTTATACTTAAAACAATATCATTCACAACTCTCTTACCATCTTTTTTTTTCTTTTTTTTTAAACGTCAATTTTTTTATTTAAGAAAATGTCTGCTTTTAAAAAAAAGAGGAAATGTCCCCTTTTTTTAAAGTCAAGTTTATATTTTTTTAATTTTTTTTTAAAAAAGGAAATTTCCTCTTTTTTTAAAAAGCAAATATTTTCTTTAAAAAAAGTAATTGACGTTAAAAAAAATTTAATAAGATGGTAAGAAAGTTGTCAAATTTTTTGGATAAATTGAATACATTTAATAAGGGTAAACTTGGAAAGCAAAAGTTAGCTTGTACAATATATTAATGATATTGTTTTAAGTGTAAGGAGAATAACACATGTCAAACAAAAAATAGAGAAGGTCCAAAGGAGAAGGGTAGAGAGAAGGTTGTTAGCATTTCTCGTTTTTATGTCTTCAAATTTGAAATTAAATTTATGATGTGACAACTAACAAACTGAATCATTTTCTCTTCCGTATGCTTGTATATAATTATGCAAAAAAAAGAAATCACTCATGATTCTTAATCACAAATACTATCTACTTCAAGATTGTCGTATATTAATCCGTATGGCTTCCTGACTAATAATTAGGAATGGTAATTTTCCCCATCAACTCGGTCCCCTCAGGGACGTTGTTAATCCCTAGCCTAATGAATAATTTTTGGCGATTTCGTTCTTAATTCTCGTAATATATAGGGCAACTTTAAATTTATGAATAATTATCAACATATTTGACACCTAATAGCACAAAGGTTATCTTCCCTGTGAAATTTTCTAGTCCCAGTTAAATGCTGTTATTAGCATTATAATTAACGAGCTAAATTAAGAGATTGGGAAAATTTCACCATCTTTTTGAGGCTATGTTCTTCATCTCCTTGTACATTCTCTACTGCCCCTTCACTAATGGAATTGCTACGGCCATCAAATAAAGAAAGAAAATTTACATAGCGATTACATGAGATCTCGAAATAGTTGTGCATAAGCCTCATTCAAATGACAGTAAATGAAAACAGCATCTCTAAGTACCATAATTCCAATGCTTGAGCAAGATCATAAAATACCTTAAGCTATGAAGTCGAATTAATGAGCTCCATGAGCCTTTAGTGGACTCCCAGAAAAGAGATATACAAAAGGAGTGTTTTATTTGGTCTGAGAAGAAGAAAGGAAAAGAACTTTTATATTTCTATTTTGTTAACAGGCTAATGATATGATTGGGCAAATTTGCTCTTATCCTCCAGACTCCCAAGAAAATATTTGACAATGACAAATGAAAATCAAAGTGCAGAAGGAAGAAAACCAACAGAGTTCAGGAAACAATCAAGTAGTGAAGACTAGCTACTAAAAATTGAAAATTAGTACCACGAACACCAAACTGATACCTAAGATTTGACATCCCTACTAAGAGGAACAAATTGTTACAACTTTCATTATACGCTGTGCGCCACCCTTCAGGGGTGTTAAGCAAAGGCCTATTTCAAGGTAGCTGAAGCTAGCTTTTCAAAATCCGACCGAGCACTCTGAATGGTTTCACTCATGGTATCCACAAGCTTTTGCAATCTAGCAATCTCAAGATCTTTCGCCCCCACTTCTAACTTCACTGATGCATGTTTCTCCTTCAACTCAATTATTTTCTTCTCAATACAGTCGGCCTCTTCTACAAGCTTTGTCTTTTCATGAGAATGCTCCCTGATCTTACTTTCAGCATCTTTTGACTCAACCTGAAACTGCCCTTGCCTGTCTTTAACAGACAACAAATGATTCACGCGCTCACGTAGAACTGTGACATTAAATCCATACTTTTCCAGGTCAAGAAGACTCTCCAAAATGCTAATGAAATCATCTTTGGGCTCATCAAAGTGCAGCCTGGATATTTTCTCCGCCAGTCTGGAAAAGGTTATCATATTGCCAATTGCTGATCCCTCACGATATTCTTCTTTGCATTGACTCAAAGGACGGAAGTGCGGACTTTGTGGTATCATTCTGAATACTTCTAATGTTTCAATTGCCTTCCACACAGGAGAGCTTTTAACAAAAGGCAAGCCTCCTTTCTCATCTTGCCCACTGCCACTGACTGCATCAACTGCAAGAGATTCCCTCCTTGCTACCTCAACTGGTTCTCTAACATTCCAATCAGGGGATGATCCTATAAAGAAAACAGATACAGTCAAATTAACTACTACCACAGGGAAATAATTAATGTAGGAAGTAGCTTACTTGATTCACCCACGCTTGCAGGATGCTGCATCCCTCCAAACCACATGGATAGAGGTCTGTCATCATCATCTGCTCCAACACAGGTCCTTGCAGGTTCATTTGTCATGCACCTTGTTCCAGGAAACTCAGCTGTTTTTCTTCTAGAGGCATCTTGTGAATCTACAAAAATTCCAGATATGATTCCAGTTCGAATACTAAGAAATACTCCCTTTGACTCTATTTTTTTGTTTTCTTTGAGAAGAGTTGTTAGACAGGAAGGAAGTGTTTAGCTAGACCACCTTTTGGAACAATCTAATTGTGTGCAAATGGTGAAAATAGGTAATTCTTTTCAAATTTTCGTGTTTCCAGTAACTTTTCAGAAGTATTGTTTGCTTCATGTCCTTCCCCTCTTCTATGAATGCTTCTCATGCTGTGTACCCAACACTTTTACAACATTCTCATTTTATCCTTGTCGGGAACAGTCTAATTGTGCTGCTTATATGTTGTTCTAATCACTGATAAAGTTAAGAGTTCTTCACTGATAGGCTGAAAAATGAAACCAAGTTGCACAATCTCAAACCTGTAGAGTCCATCCCTCTGAGCACATGCAAAGCAACTTCCTCAAGCGTCTGATTTTCTGCAACATTTCCATCAGCAACTTGTCCCAATCCATTCTGCCCCTTGACTACAATCCAAAAGAATAGATGTTTAACAAAAAATTCATTGCCCAAAGTAACAGATCTTTTCTTTTGAGATAAGTTGGCCAAAGTACATGTGTGACCCACTATAGGTTGCTAATAGCTTCAATTTGAACAATGTCAATTAACAGTCAAACGGTAACTAGAGGGGCCAAATTGACACAAATAAGAAAATTAGATAGTTCACATTGTTCCAATTAGAAGTAAAGGGACCAAACTGAAATACCTTGAGAAGTGCACTGTTGAGATTGTTCAATCTAAAACTTAGCAAACTAGAGGGCTTAAAATGTACTTTTACTGAATCTAAAATATCAAAAGATGATTTTACTTTGAAGGCCTTTTACCTCCCTCTGAAGCTTGTGGGCCTACATCCACAAATTTTCGAGGTCTGCCCCTCTTTCTTTTATGAGTACTTCCGCCAGCTGGTTGCTGCTTAAACTCCTGCTCAAATACAGATAAACATCCGTAGGCAAAAGCATTGAGTAGAAAAACAAACATAGTACATAAAATATAATTTTTACTGTGGACCTCTCACTCCATGATTATACCATGTCTGGAAAAAGAACCAGGCTACGGAGCAGGTTAGCGAAAATTGAATCACTGCCAAGTTCAGCTGACATAACCTGAGTGTTAATAGCTTATTTTAGATAATATCCAATGTTGTCATTGTTGATAGCTTAAATCCCTAATGTTTCATGTTCCTACTCTTTCGACATACTTGAATAAAAGGGCCTAGTCCATAGAATAGATAAATAATTAAATAGAAACTTTACTCATGTAAAATTTGGCCTTCTTTCGTTTTTTATTTTACATGATTTATATATTTTTCTCTTTAGTAATTTGCGATTTGCAATTTGAAATCAAGTTCTGGCTCAGTACGACTAACACCCAAACAACAATCTACTTTGCCTACAAGAAGTGACATGGCTAATCACTTCTCAAAAGATCCAAACGAATTCCATTTTTTATTTCCTTAGAGAACAGCATAGTTCTAGCTCTCTCTGGGACTGGGAGAACCCACTAAGCAGTTTAATTTAAAATTATTTATTACTCCTTTGGTTATGGGTCCTTTTTTTTAGTATATTGCCTACCATGCTCTTTTCTTGTGCAGGATCATTAGGAAGCTGGCATGGGATTTCAGCCAGTGAACCATCCTTTTCCTTAGCTTTTGACCTGATAGTGTGAGGCACTTCAGCTTCCTTACTTATCCCCTCCTTCTGAACTATTTTTCCAGCAGAATTAACACTTGCGTACTCTTCCTTACCTGCAAATTATTAAGAACCAAATGTCTCTCAAATAAGAAACCTAATCAGCGCAGGGTCTATTGATGAACATATATACCCTTTTCTTTTTCTCTCTTTTGGCTAGGCAGTGCACAGATATACCCTGAAAAGCATAAAGAACAAAATTTCTTTCAAACAAGAAACCTAACCAGTGCAGGGTCTACTGATGAACATATATACCTTTTTCTTTTTCTGTATTTTGGCTATGCAGTACACATATTTACCTGCTTGGGTCAACCGGCTTCCAAATGGAGACTTTGTACGTCTTCCTTTACTTGTTACAGGATGTACCCATTGGCTATCCACTTCACCGTCTCTCTCTTCCTTAGTCTTCTACACATAACGAATATGTTGATCATAAACACGGGGTCACAGAAAACAAAATTAAGGAAGTAGTGACTAGATTATCAATGCCTGTCAAGGAAGGGGAAATAGGACAACACACCATTTACTCCAGATCAATTTTTTCTACTACATACTTAAGACATAGCACTGCTACTAACCACTGTAACCAATCATTTAGGCACAAGAAATACGCGTGCAACCGCTATGTGTGTGCAACCAGTTTCATGGAAACAATAACATCGTGGCATCAATGACACATTGCATCACATGATCGACGCAAGAAAATAAACATTAAGAAAAGACATTTCAACTCACAACATTATTTTCCTCAAGCAAGCTCTCTGTTTTAAGATGTTGATGGCTAACAACGGGTTTTCTTGATCGTCTTGTTCCTCTAACTCCTCTACTCACTGTGGCTAATTCATGGAGCATTTCTTTATTGTCGGGCATTTTCCTCAACTGACGTGCTGTAATGGATAATGTCGCCTCTGCAGCTTTGTCGTCCTTTAACTTTTTTGAAGGACCCGAGTCTGTAGCAGTAACATTACGGGCTAACATCTTTTTGCTCTTGATGCTCCGGGGATAACTTAGCTGCTCCAAAAGACTCTTCCGTGAATTTTTTGATTCAGGGTTATCCTCTACAGCACCCAAATTTTCAAGTTGAGTAGCCACTTCAACATGGTTGGAATCGTTTTGAGCATGCAATACATGATCTTTATTTTGTGGAGAATCTGAAGCGGCCAATACCTCCTGGAAGGAAGTCTGATTAGTTACTAATAAATAAATATAATCCCTAAGAGACACTAGCTAAACTTCAACTCAAGCAAGCAGCTAATGCTACAAAAAATATGAAACCTCACTGTATTCCAAGACACCCTTCCCCCCACCCCCCCACCCTCTCCTCTCTCTCTCTCTCTCTCTCTCTCTCTCTCTCTCTCTCTCTCTCTCTCTCTCATACTCGGAAAAATAGATAACTTCGATCCACCAACTCATTTACCATCTTTCCATTCCAGAATGGGTCTTATGACTGAGAAACCAAGTTCCTTACCTTAAATCCCGTGCTTGAAATGATGGTATACAGCCTCTCAGCTAAAACATTGGAAAAAACACCGGCCCGCCAAGAAATATCAAGAAAGCATCTACCTTTTTGAGCAACTCATAACTTCTATTTGTATAATGAGAAAGGGGCAGGGGGATAGGATGGAAATCTACAGTATCTTTCTGAACCCTAGCATCTGAAATCTCATACTTCACCAGAAAGGTCTTATCCTCGATTTCTTTTAGAACAATTGCAGGGAACCAATCATCAAATAAATTTTCTTTGTCAAACCTAACTTCTACATCTGATCCTGAGCTGAAAATGGACCCTTCCATTTGCTTTCCATTGAAATATCAGATCAGTTGAATCCCCAAAAAATTAACCATAACATATATTTTCAATTCTAGCTGCAAAGGACAAATTCATAAATACACAAAGCCTATGCAACCCCAAGTAATTGCATTTGTTTGTTAATCGAGTTATGAAACCTAAAAATGAACTGAATAGAATAAGCAAGAAGCTAGAGCAATGCAGTTACTTTCCATTCGGATAATCGCATTTGCATAGATCCATTAATTTTCACATTTATAAGTTCAAACATGTTATTAGCTAGGAAGAACATGTGGCAATAAAACATCCAATGGAGCCATTTAATTTCATAAAAGATCAGATTTCAAGATAATTCATAAAATCAATTAAACCCACATATACCACCCACTAAGTCCACACAGTACACAGATCAACACAACCCATCAATATCATATTACATTTCAGTAACAAAATGCAGTATCTGATTCAACAATATATTATACCTAAGAATAACTTCCATCAAAGCTACAGCTGTAATTCATTTGTAGCACTAGTTGCAGAGAAAAAATTACCATTTCGGACTTCACAGTAATGTGCATTCCGTACATGCATGAATACTCATGATTAAGAGACTAATTAACCGCAAGAAAAGAAAAGAAGATAAAAAAAAAACCACCAAGAAAAAACGAAAGAACAATCTTTAAGAGGGAAAGGAAAAAAAAAAAGCCCAGGTCACCACCAAGATAGCATACCTTCTTATTGGGCCGAACCCATTTGCCAGCATCCCAATCTTGATGCAATCTGAGACGCTCTCCCTCAAATTCAATCAAATCTGGAGGGAATTCAAACACGACTGTGTACTTGGAATTGTCAAGAACCTTTTTTACAACTCCAGTCCACCATCCATCTTTATAATCCGCATCGACCACGTCACCCTCCTCAAAGTTTTGGTCACCCAATGGAGGCGGCACAGGCCTCAAGAGAGCCGAATCAACGTACTCTTTGAGCTGCTGAGAGCCATCTTCGGTGACCAAGCTCTTGTACTCCACCAAGGCCCTTTTCCTCTTCTTTGAGGCTAAGTTTGTGGGACTTGTGACGATGGTGGCTCTGAACCAGGCGCCTTTGAACCCTTCCTCGTCGCTCCTCACTTCTACGGCCGAGCCTACGCTGAATAATTGGAGCTGCTGCTGGTGTTCGTTGCCCTCCAAGCCTGCCATTGTTGTTGAATAGCAAAAACCCTAAAATGGGTACTGGGTACTTTCGGTAGTATAACTACTTTCTCTACCAATCTACGCGGTCAAACCAGTAATTGTGGGAGACACTGTTATCAAGATTTACAGTAGCTCTGTTTTAACACAGAAAAAAGAAGAGTGCTTTTAGTTTTCCCTTCAGACAGACTGATTAAGAGAGGGTGTTCTGTTTTAACTGTCTCGACGTTCTTTTTTCTTGAAAGAAAATGTTAAGCACATCATTTCTCGCTTGCGCGTAGCGATTTCTAACCGTTAGATGCATGTATGTTACATTGTGAGTTTCATATATATATATTTATAATTAAAAGTCACGTTTTTACACATCGACGGATTCTCCTAAGTTTTTCACTTTTTGAAATATGACTGAAGTTTCAACCGTTATATGCATGTACGTCACGTTGTGAGTTTGATATGCAATTATAGACAAATGTCATGTATTAACGCGCTGGTGAAATTTCCTAGTTTTTCTCTTTTAGAAATTTGACTCAAGTTTCAGATAAATTTGAGGTTGAAGTCACACACCTGCACATAGGGGAACTTCTCATAAGCTTTTCTCAATCGTAAATCGGGTTCAAGAAAGTTACTTTCAAATGTTACAGCAACATCCTAAACTGATTCAAAGCTGCGGAATTCGTAGTTCAAGTCAAGCAATTGAAAGTTATCCACTCACATGTGATCGAACTCTCTTAAGTTATCCTTTCTTGAAATATGATTTAGGAGTAGGAAATTTTGTGGTTATAATATTTATTCCCATTCAATGCCAGCGTCGGAAGCTTCCTTCAATTTAACTTTCATTTGTACATTTTTTTTATAATGGAGAAATTATAAAATACTACGGCAGTATTGTCACGTGGTACATCTTGTATACGTATTATAATATGAATGACCACAATGATTTATTTTCCCCATTTTAGAAAATGGTATCGATAAATATCCACTTATATTATAACACGTGTATAAGATGTACCACATGACCGTATTAACGTAGTATTCTATAATCATTGGTACATGCAACTTCAAAAAGAAAAAGAAAATAATCCCTCAAGTAGCATTTGTAACAACAACAAAAAAAAGCTAATTAATTAACTCTATTAAAAAAAGAAAAAAGCTTGGCCCTTTGAAAAAAAAATTTGAAACATTGTCAATTAAAATTAAATTAAAAAATGCTAATTAATTAATAATGCTATTTAGTCGATTTTTTTTATATTAAACTTCTTAAACATGTGGGGAAACTTATACAAAAGAAGATTATTACAATTTTTATTATTATAGAGAATTCGACTAATGCCGTCTAAACTTTAGGCCGAAGTGTCACTTGAAGAAAATGAATGAAGCAATGTGTTAGCTCAAATAAAATTTTGTTCCAATGTGTTATATATATATGTTTTTTTTTTTGTCGAAAGAACTTATATCCAAAGCACAAGAACCCTTAAACAAGAGTCTCACGCCCATACAAAGGAAAACAGGTTTGTCCATGCAAGGAAACAGACAAAACATAGAGAGTCCATAAACCAACCAATACATTTAGACTGATCAAGAAGAAAAGCGCCAGAAAGACAATCCAACCATAAGGATGTCGAAACGATTCAAGACCAGTCAACAGCCAAATTAGGCATGGTGAGGACAAGGGAGTCCATCCTTGCAAAGGATATGCACAAGAGAGGTGGGGGGTCATTCAACCCAAACTTCCATACTCCTCCTCGATAGTGCCAGCAACGCAAGATGATCCGCCGCTTGATTACAATTCCTGGTGGTCCAATTCCACTTGCACCCTTCAAAATATCGTTGCTCATCACGGATGAGGGTAAGAATTGGGTACAAAGTCCAACTCCCTCGACCAAAAGAGTCACGAACACTTTTGATAAGCTCTAAAGAGTCTGACTCGAAACAAACCATGTTGTGACCACGCTCCTTAGCAAATTTGTAGTCCTCCCATAACGCAGTTGCCTCAGCTATAAGAGCATTCTCCGCTTGAAAATCCACAGATTTGGCCCCAAGAAATCTCCCTTCAAAATTTCGAATAATTATGCCAGCCCCCGCACGACAAGTGCTTTTCCTCCAAGCGGCATCAACATTTATTTTGACAAAAGGCTTAGAAGGGGCTGCCCAAGAAGCTTGGGTAGAGGGATGAACTGATCTTGTGGTGGAAAAGGTGATTAAGTGCTTTAGAGAGAATCTTTCATTTACCTGGTCGAAAATGGCCTTGAGGGTTTGCTGGGGTTAGGGTGTGTAATTGTCAAACACCACCCTATTCCTAGTCTTCCATATATTCCAGCAAGTGTATGCAATCTGACAGAAAATTCGGCTTCTCTCCTCCTTTGTGTTAAGGCCTATGATCACGCAATCCCGCAACCATGTATGCAGAGAAGAGATTTGCTACCTATCAACTCAATAGGTTAGCCCTCCAAACCAGATAGGTTCAACCCAAGGGCAAAGCAATAACATGTGCTCAATTGTCTCCTCATGATCATCACAAATTGGACATAAGGGAGAGTTACGCAGCTTCTTCTTATAAAGAACAGATGAGACAGCCATGTGACCATTTAAAGCTCTCCAAAAGAAATGGCGAATTTTTGGTGCGACATCCGAGTGCCAAATCAACTTCCAGACCCCTTAGTCGATGGACATAGAGGAAGAAGGCCCACGCACGGAGCTGCGGTGATGATGGGTATGAATGTTGTGATAACCAGATCTTACCGAGTATTTTCCATTTTTCTCATCCGGCCACACCAAGCGATCCACCTCCAAGCTGCTTTCGATAGGGATCCGTTGAATGGCCAAAGCCTCTTCAGTCGATAATAGAGGCCGGATTAAATCCAGTTTCCACGTTCTTGAATTCCAATCAATAATAGTTTCTACAGTAGCATTTCTATCCATAAAGGCACTCGGAGCAGGACACAAAGCACCTCCTTTTATGTTAGTAATCCATTTGTCAGTCCATATTCTCGCTTGCGCTCCATTCATAATTTGTCATCTTACCCCATTTAGGATCACCTTTCTTCCTTTAATGAGACTATCCCACACCCACGACGCCCTGCTCCCATTGGTGGCCTCCATAAAATTACACTCAGGGAAATAGCGAGCTTTGATTAAACGAGCCTAGAGAGAATTTAGTTCTGTGAGAAGCCACCAACACTGTTTAGCTAATAAAGTCAAATTGAAATCATGAAAGTCACGGAAGCCCATACCCCTTTCATGCTTTAGCAAGCCCAATTCGGTCCAACGTACCCAATGAATCTTCATTTCCTCCTATTTCTGGCCCCACCAGAAATTGGCAATCTCAGACTCCATCTTCGTACAAAATGTTTTAGAGAATAAGAAAACTCTCATAGGGTAATTCGGGACAGCTTGAGCAATGGCTTTGATAAGGACCTCCCTACCGACTTGTGAGAGAATGGATTGTTTCCATCCGCTTAACTTACGCAACAACTACTCCCTCACAAACTGCAGCGCCTCCTTCTTAGAACTCCCTTACATTTTAGGAAGACCCAAGTATTTACCTAGGTCATCTACCATAGTCATACCAAGAATGGCACCCAACTTCGTGCGGATACTTGCAGGTGTATTGGGACTAGAGAATATACTTGATTTCCCAAAAGTGATTTGCTGACTAGACGCACGACAGTAGCAGTCAAGCAACAATCACATATTACGACAGTTCTGAGTATTAGTCCTGATAAAAAAGAAGGCATCATCGGCAAAAAAAAGGTGAGAGAGAATAGGTCCACCTCTTCCAAACTTTAGACCTTGCAAGTAATTAGCATCACATGCTTTTTTAATCATGAGGGAGAGGACCTCACTCACAATAAAAAACAAGTACGGTGATAGTGGATCGCCTTGTCGGATGCCCCTCGTTGGTGTAAAAGTGTTACCCTGCACCCCATTCAAGACCAACGAGAATTGCACAGTACAAACCAAATTCATCACCAAGTTGACCCAACGAACATCAAAACCCATCTTGAGCATGACCGATTCCAAGAAATGCCACTCCACCCTATCATAAGCCTTGTTCATATCAATTTTGATGCCCAAATCGTACATTTTTGTTGTCTTTCGCAACTTCAAAATGTGGAAAGCTTCATGGGCGATTAAAATATTCTCCTGAATTTGACGGTTTGGGACAAAAGCATTTTGAGCCGGAGAGATGATCTAAGGCAAAAAAACCTTCAATCTATTTGCCATAACTTTAGATACAATCTTGAAAGAGAACTTACATATGCTAATTGGGCGAAAATGAGAAACTCTCTCAGGGTTTGGAATTTTAGGAATTAAAACCAGGTTTGTAATATTCAAAGCACCAAAACTCCAATTGTTTAGGAAGAAATCCTCTGTGATGCCTCTGACTTCATCATAAATAGTGTCCCAATATTTGTGAAAGAAAATTCCCTGATATCCATCTGGACCTGGAGCCTTTAAACCTCCCATCTGCATTGCAGCCTCCTTTATCTCTTCCATAGTAATTGCCTACAATAAGTTGTCATTGGTAGTTTGAGAGATCACACTGTCAACACAATCAAGAATATCACCATTAATGAATTGAGCCTCAGAAGTGAACAAGTTCTTGAAATGCTCTTCAAACACCCTCCTGATGGCTTGCTCACCCACATGCCAACGCCCATCATCGCCCTTAATTCTAAGGATACAATTCTGTCGTCTATGGGCCAGCGTAGATTGGTGGAAGAAAGCAGTATTGGCATCCCCTTTTGAAAGCCACTTTATCCTGGACCATTGATGCCAATATTGTTCCTCTCTTACCCCAGTTTCAGTTATCTCCTGAGTGATGCGCCTTATCTCTGCATGATTCTCATCCCACCTTAATTGTTTTTCATTGAGCTCAGTGTGAAGGGCCTCCATTCTCTTCTTATTGTTTGAGAACTTTTCTCTGCTCCATTTTTGAAGGAGGGTAGTGCAATGTTGAAGCTTAGCTTTCCATTTATATATCCATGGACCATGAACTTGCTTTTCCCAGCCTTTTTCAATAATCTATTTAGCCTCCACCTCATCAGCCCAATAAGCTTCAAACTTGAACTGCCTTATATGATTTTTATGATACATGGTTGTCTCCAAGACCAGTGGATTGTTATCCGAACCGATGGCCGGGTGGTGACTAATGGAAGTACTTGGCCATGACTCCTGCCATGGTAAGTTCCCCAAAACTCTATCGAGTCTTTCCTGAACAAAAATACCATTCTGCCTGTGAGCCCTCCAAGTGAAGCTCGATCCCTGGTAACCCAAATCAATGAGCCCCGCCTTCTTCATGAAGTTGTGAAGGTAGCAGGGTCTGTTGGAAGGCTGCTCAAAACCACCTTTTTTCTCAAAAGACCATAAGATTTCATTGAAGTCACCACCGCATAACCATGGAAGGTCGGTATATCTGAGGACACCTTCGAGAAAGTTCCAGCAAGCCTCATTCTCCTATTTATATGGCGTTCCATATACCTACGAAGCCCTGTAATGCGTTCCCCTCTGATTATCAGTGATGATTATGTCAATAAAGTTTTTGGAGAAAACCTTTACCTCGAGATCAATGTTATCATCCCACCAAAAACTCAACCCTCCAGCACTACCCATTTGGGGTACCGAAAAACCCTTCTCAAAACCGCATCTGCGTTTCTAACTTTCAATCATGTTATCCTTCAATTTTGTTTCCATTAAAAACACAACAATGGGCCGGAATTCACGAACCAAACCCCAGAGGGTACGAACTATCAAGTCTGGCCCGAGGCTTTGATAGTTCCATAAGATGTAGCTCATGGTTGACGTGCGGCTATTGAAGGCCAGCCGCCACCGCCCCAGGTTGCACCACCCAACTCCTGATCAATTGCTTGAATATGGACATGTGACCAATCATCCGCTTAAGCGACATTGACCTCAATGAGATTTGCATTATCAAACAAAGCATGAGCTCTGCTTCTTACATTCTCAGGCTTGATACTTTCCTTATATGTGGTTTTCCTAGCCTTCACTATCCTCCTCTTTTGTGACCCTTCAGCCACCGCCAGACCTTTCCCAGTTGTAGCCTCATTTGATAAGGTTTCAGTTTCAGCCTCCTCAATGTTTAAGAGAGGCACGTGATCATGCTTCTGTTTTTTTCCCAGAGACTCCAACTTACTGGCTCGCTCGTCCTCTGGGTTTCGCTTTAGGCCCAAATTCTGAAAAGTTGAATCTACATGCGAAATAATTCAAGTGGATGCCATGTTGATTTTTGGCCCAAAGGGATGAAAAAAAAAAAAAAAAAAAAAAAAAAAAAAAAAAAAAAAAAAAAAATGCTCCATGGGAGTGCCAAATGGGGCCCAAGGGCCCAATTCCGATATGGTCTTAGTGTTGGGTCAAGTATGCTCTAATTGGTAATGAAAGCGTTGCCCCTAAAATCTGATGTCACGTTTAGTTCCTCTAAGGTAAATGCGTCTTCACTTCCAGAATTCACGCTATGTGCTCCTTGCCTTGGGAAAATCATCTGTGTCTGTCTTGATTCCGGAACCATCTGACAAAATGGGAGAGGGGTGTTACGGCTATGCCTGCTCTCTAACGTTCGACTGCGCTCGAGCTGCCTGCTTGTCAAATCACATATTCCAGGCTGGCTTTGGCTCATCAGAGATCTCGTGTCCACCCCCTCACTTGTTGTGTGAGGCCCACGCTCTTCTTCCCCTTCCCCACGGTGTTGTCGGACTGTGGCAGCTCTCCTTCTTACTCCAGGTGTGTTGGTTGGTGGCTTAGAATCATAAAATTCTCTAACAATTTTGGCCCTGGTCCAATTTCCATAGGCCATTTCATTTGCAGATGGTTCCTCGAAAGTGCAAGCATCCATAGAATGTCTGATTCGGCCGCATCGGTAGCATAAATCAACAAGCCTCTCATACTAGTACTCAACCCAAGTCTTCGTGTCTTCAGCCCTGGGCAGCTAGAAACTGGCAAGAAGTGGCAAGTTGGTATCTACCCCAATTCTAATTCGTAGGAAACCTCTCTGCTTTCCTGGGTCTTCGAAATCAATCGCCTTCCCAGCTTTGCGCCCCAATTTAATCACATTCTCCTCGTGGCATAGGTTCAACCGGATTCCACGGATATGGATCCAGTGCGAAATGATGTTCACCTCAACTTCCTCGATGGCAAGATTTGGAGGCCATCTCTTCACAGAAAAACAACATTTCATAATGGACTAGGGTCCATTGTCAATAATCTTGCTGGCCATTTCTTCATCTATAACCGTTATGGAGAAAAGGTTCTCCCTAACCCATACTATCTTAGCTTCCCCATACTCTTTCCAGGCTGCTTTCAGAATGCTCTTTATTGCCCCATTGTTTGGTAGTTTCTGGGCAATCACAGCGCCAACAAGTTTCAGGCCCTCTTCAAAATTAGATATTCCCAGCACCTCATCCAAGTGCTCACTGAGTTCGTCTGGCGTGGGTCTGGTCCGTACACTCCTTTCGCTACTTCTTTTGATCTCACTCATTGTTGGTGTGGGGTTACTTTCTGGATAGACTATGGATTTTTGAAATGGTTTGGGGTGGGGTAGATGGTGTTCGTGTGGCTATTTTAATAATGGGTAAGGTTGCAAACTAGTATAGTGAGGATGTTTGTGGTGGTATATGTGCTTCAGCTTGATGTGGTGCAGATGCTTATGATTCTTGAAGGTGTGATGAAAGTAAATGGCTATAGCCGTTATATATAGTATTGAGGAGATCTGGTTGTTGGGGAATTCATGGTGCGTATCCTTTCTTCTTAAATTTGTTTGTTGTAGATTGTTGGTGTTCATCCCTATAAGGGTAGCCCGAAGCCAAAATGGGGCGCAAGATTTTGAGCATAGGAGAAAATAAGGGAGGAATTACTAAGGCAAAAAATCTAATGCAAATAAGCTCGTCTCAGTCACCAGATTTCCAAAGTTGCATTGAATGTTTGTTGGTTGGTGGGGAATAAAAGCGGTGGTTGGTGTTTAGAAGAAAGAATGAGAACTGAGGCAAAAAGATCTGATGCAAAACAGCTCATCTCAGTCACCAGATTTCCAGAGTTGCCTTGAATGTTTGTTGGTTGGTGGGGAACAAAAGCGGCAGTTGGTGTTTAGAAGAAAGAATGAGAGGAGCGGAGGCATAAATGGTAACAGAGGATCACTCAGTTGGAATAAAGAGTAATGCTACACTTACCACATTTTTATCCCACATTTCTATACCACATGATGTGACATCCATTTTATATGCCACATCAATTAAATCAATGAAGTGCATTTTAATTAAGGCAATTAGAAAAACAAATACTGGAATAAACCATAAAAGAAAAGAAAATATTAAATTATTTTAATTGATGTGGCTGTCCACCTCAGCCGCCACATAAGGTGGTATGAGAATGTGGTATACAAATGTGGTACGAGTAGCATTATCCTGGAATAAATGCTAAAGAAAAAGGGGAGTTAGACCCAAAAACCCATCATAGTCGCCGGATTACTTCCAATTTCGCAATGAATGTTTGATTGATGGTAGGATTAAAGGCAAGAATCACCAGTAAAAAGTACGGTGAAGGAAAAACTCCCACCAGGGGGAGAGGAGCTCTCACGCAGAGGGAGAGAAATTTTTTTTCTTGTTCCAATGTGTTATATATGATGAACTTCTGCTATTTTTCTCATTTAAAAAGTTGCATGTACTCCGTCCGTCGTATGTGATCCTTTTACAACATATAACAATATTTCAGATGTTAAATACTATTTGCAATATAGGAATTTTTTTTATTACTTCGCAATGTAAGAAATTAGACTATAAATATTACATTGTAATAAAATTTTAATTGAGTTGAGACATTGCAATTTTGATGACCCATTGAACAAGGCTTATGTTTGAGGTCGACTTGAACATTTGATATGCATCTATTGACATAACTATAATTAACTATTTATTTTGTATTTGTATAATTATAATTATACTCATGAATACGTGTCAAGAATTAAGAATAGTGGTAATGGTACATATTGAGTTAAAGTTGTTAGCAAAAATTTTGTATTTGTGTAACTATAGTTATAATTATGGACGTGAAGTGTTGAGAATGATGACACCCCTAAGCTTCTCGGAATCACAAACTCAACCCACCCCCATCTTCCAGAAGCAGACACTTGCACGGTCTTGCTTCATTCAATCATGGAGTCTGTCACAGCCACCGGCTTTCCCAAAACCCCAACGCTATTTTCGAAAATTCCAGCCACGTCCCACCAATACCCACAATCTGTATTTGTAAAACGGCACCGGTTAACCTCTCAAGGATCGATCTTTGTGAAAACCACCATTAGAGCTTCGAACCCGAGCGCAGCGGCTGAGTCTTCTTCACCTGGACTCTACTCCGCCAAGAAGTACGAGCTCACCGTTCCTAACGTCGACTTGGTTCTTGAGGATGTCCGCCCCTATCTCATCGCTGATGGCGGTGACGTCGACGTTGTGTCCGTTGAGGACGGCGTCGTTTCACTCAAGCTCCAAGGTGGGTTTGGCTAATCTCTTTTTTCTGTCTCTTTTTTTCATTTGAAATATGATTTCTTTTTTCTGTCAGAAATTTTGGGTTTTGTGAATTTGAATGATTTACTCATTGTCAACATATAATTTGATTGTGAAACAATGGCAATTAGTTGGAATCAATGTTTTGTTTTGCAATTAGGCAATTGAAATTCCATTTTCTTGAAGAATTGAAATGATAAACAGGGGCTTGTGGGAGCTGCCCTAGCTCAACCACCACCATGAAAATGGGAATTGAAAGAGTGCTTAAAGAGAAGTTTGGAGATGCGCTCAAGGATATTCAACAAGTCTATGATGAAGAAAACAAAGAGACCACTGTTGAGGTGAGTGTTTGATGGATTGAATTTGCATAATCTTAATTTTGATACTCGAAAATGAATGCATGTAATAACGATAAAATGGAGCCAATGACCAAATTTTCGGAGAAGCTCGTGAGTTCAAATCTCATGGACGATAGATGTTGAGTAAACGGAAAATGGTAAAATGGTTTATGAGAGCTAAAGTGCTCAAACAATTCATTCAGCATTCATCATGCATGGTGCCAGCCAAGTTTTGACTTTTGATGGTGTGCCAAAATTTGGAAATGCAGGCAGTGAATGGCCATCTTGACATATTGAGACCAGCCATAAAGAACTTTGGTGGAAGTGTGGAAGTGTTATCTGTTGAAGGTGGGGATTGCCATGTAAACTATGTGGGGCCTGACTCCATTGGATCAGGAATCAAAGCAGCCATTAAGGAGAAGTTCCCAGATATTGTCAACGTTGTGTTCACTGGGTAGCTTTCTGAATGGAGATTTCTCTCTCTGCGTTGTATTTCCTTCTTGTTGCTCATCAAGATTCAACACATTATGCTCAGCTTTTGATGTATAATTGTATAGGACTCCTCTAATTCATAATGGATAGTTGCTTGCTCCATCAACTTCGAATTCGTGTATGTTGTTGCATAAGTTTCTGTTTCTTTAGCAAAAATGAATTTTGTGCAATCAGCCGTATCAAACATTCAATTGGTCTGGCACTTAATGAACTCCAACTTTGTTCTTGCAAATTGTAAATACTTTTGGAGGGATGTTCTATTAACTTGTGCATATTAGTAGAAAATGGAATATTGAAAAAGAAAATATGTACAGAATAATATGTCTGAAACCAAGAATAAGTACGTGAAAAGCTGAAGGTTGTCTTGAGTTGTCTTCAGATATGAGGAAGTCTTGACCAATGACAGAATATGACTATGCCGACTTGTCCTCTGAATCGGCGACAGCAGTGATCACTGATTTCACCCAACGTGAAAAATTGATCAGAAACAGAGTGTAAACAAAGTAGCAAGTGAGTGTCCAACTAACTAGTCCCTGCAAACAACACCTCAATGTATCAGAAAAGTGACGGTTGGGTTAGGCCTCTGCAACTGCAAGTAGAAATTAGAAACCCTTCAGTTGGGTTGGTTTTCAATTACCCACCTGCCCAAATATTTCAACATTTGCTTGTGGATAATACCAAAGGTGGAAAAACCTGAATGTGAGCATCAAAGAGTTCAGTTTTATCAACATATAATATAATATCTGAATAATATCAGGAGAAAGAGGAAGGAAGAAAGAAGAAAACCATTACTTCATTAATGGAATCTCAGCCAGCGGGCAGGCAATTCCGATGATGCTTGCAAGGAGGAACCCGAACCATGTCCTGTCCACGGAAAACCATATGAACTCTGCCGCTGCAAATAGTACGTAAGCTTCAATATTATCTGCGGTTCCGGCCTTGTAGAGTTCAGCGCTCAACTCTATAAATAGCACAAGTGCTCTGCGTAGAACAACAATGTCCTTTGTTACATTACAGGCAACAACACATGCTCGCAACTTAAAAACCACATAATTGCGTTGCAACAATTGAGAAAAATTGAGCTTGAAACACAAAACATATATGCTCACAGAAAAGAAGCAATCGTTTTCTCTTGGTTGGCCTCTGGACTGTTTAAAGGGACCCTCTCATTCTCATCCAAGAAGAGTTGAAGCAACCCAACAGTGCAGTAGAACAGACCCAGCAAAACAGGAACCTAACAACATTAAATGGAATCAATCAACAGCTATATTCACTAATTTTTTAGGGAAAAAATTCCCAAAATGAGAGAAATTATTGAGTTTACCCAGATGTTTGTGTGAAGAGGACCAATATTGATAGACCCGTTTTGGTATGCCACAAGCTCTACCCTTGAATGGAGTCCATCGATCAAAGGACCCAAGAAAAAACCTGCCCCGAAAAGTGCAAATGAGATGGAAGGCCAAGTGGTTCCAAGGCTGCTTCTTCTGGTTGTGTTTTGATTTCTCAGATTGCAGGAAGGCCTAATAGTAGCAGGTAAAACATGTTTGCACTTGGCATTGTTATTGTTAGGGAAATTGTGAAGAACGCAGGAGGAGCCCGTGACAATAAGGGCTTGCATCTAGGAATCAGAAACCACCACAAACAATAAATTCTTTTTCTTTTTCTTTTCCTCTGCCCTTTTAGTTGGATTTTGATTCATTTCACCGAAAGGTAAGGTTGTCTGTACATTTTCGACCAAAAAAAAATGTCGTCTGTACATTGCACTTCACTAAATTTTGGACCACAAGGAGCAGTGGATATTTTGAAGGCATTTGTCCTTTCCTTCCATCATTTCATATGGGGAGTGGGACACCCTGATTTATAGTTAATGGATTTACTTCCAAATAACTGTCACCGACAAAAACAGTAACTCTTACTTCTTCTTTTTTGGTGAAATAAACTCATACTTCTTTAGCCAAAGATAAGAATGAGAATCTAGTCAATGTACTAGTCGTTTCAATGTAAAACTTCACAGCGGCAACACAGACAATTACCCTTCAATGAGCTAAATAGTACTAGTCTAATACCGAAATTCTAATTGAGTACATAATGTATTTACATAAATATAGCATTGTTTAATTAGCATTTCACGTAGTCTTAACCTAATCCTATCCTTCAACCATCGCCCCACATCCCAGGGGAGAGACAGTGCAAAACCTTCTGAGATCAGCTGCCCAATGTGATAAGCGCCCATGATTCTGACCATCTATTGTGCAAAATCTGATGTTTCCTCGAGACAGACAGAAATTGGGGCTTCCACTTATGCCAAGCACATCATTCAGTGCCGTTAAAAAGGATGAGCAACTGCGGAATTACTTACTGGTTAAGTCCATCATAGAGGAATCTGTGAATCTGCATCGCCAATCACTGCTAACTACCAATGACATTAAATATAGAAAAGACAACATATTCTCCTATTTTAATTGCTCCTGCATTTGAAACTTCAATATACTGGCTTCATGTCGGACAAGCTGCACCAATTTAAATATGCATTCTGCATTCCGGGTCAACTCAGAGCTGATTCGTTTACTCTGTTCTGGAGCTACAGATCCGATGCCTTTAACTTTCTAGGCCTTTTAGACTGAGCAGGTGATGAAGGAGCTTCTGCCCTGCCAGGGGCCTTCAGAGACACAATAGAAAATAATCTATATCACATTCAATGCATATACATGAATTGGTATGTATGAGGAAAGGTGGAAAAAAAAAATTACAGGAATTGGTATGTACCTTTCGTTTCTGATCTCGTTTAACAACTCTTTCCCCTGACATTCAATGTATATACATGAGTTAAAAAGTACTCGAAATTGACTCAGGACACACAAAAAATAAAAAATAAAAAATAAAAAAGCAGAAAAGCAAATTAATAGGCACACAATGCAGGAGTAGATATAATTGCCTATAATATCACCTAATACATCACCTCCGAAACTCATCGAGTCCGGAACAAATGTGCGATCCTGATCACCACAAATGAATACTTGTTAGTAGTGTCAGAAAAATCTCATTGTTTGAAGTACAGGCCTACCACAAGGGAGAAAACAGACCTTGGGTGTGCCTGGGGTTTCGTACGGACTATCACGATAAGATGAGCCTTCTGCCTCCTTATATTGTAACTGGCAACCAAAAGTTTTACTTATGTCATATAAATAGATAACTGAAGAAAGATGCACTCTTTAATTTTCAAACTGCAGTTTAACGACCAATGGTTTGCAAGTAAACAAAAATGAAGTTACAACAGACGAATAATGCCACAGTTGCTAAAATTCATTCAAAAGGCAGTACATAAGAGACCATAAAGCAGCTTAATGATGGAAATTAGAAAACAGACCCCAACATTTAGAGATACGCCCATATATCAACGATACACATGGAAGGGGATATTGATACACTCTAAATTACAAATGAAAAAGAACAGTAATTCAAAAGGAAAAAAAATCATAGCTGAGCAATACCTGTTTCTGAAGATTCAGTAGCGTCAGTATTTCTTTTCTTAATTCAAGATGATGTGAACAAACAGCTTTAGTTGGAACTCTTGGCTTTAAATTAACCTGTAAAGATAAATCCAAACTTTAAACTCTTTTCTTCGTATAAAGACATTCAAATGATTTGATGCTCTGAATATAAATCAGTACATGTCAATATCCATGATTAATGAGAACCAAAAGATCCAGTTGAGCTTAGTTAAGAAACACTTTTGAAAAAAAACTAAAAATGAGCAAACAATGATATCTGTGCACAAATACCAAAAACCCTATCAAGAACCAAAAGATCCAGTTGAACTTAACTAAGAAGCACTAAAAAAAAACTACTATAAATGAGCAAACAAGGATATCTAACCTTCAAATAAAATTTAATACACTGAGCACAATCACCAAAAACTGCAAAGCATGTCTTCAATGATAATTCTAAAAAAATTTACAACCAAAAGTAATTATCTAGAAATTCATCCAGATTTCTAATAAGGAGCAAGATTTGTGATAGGGACACATTTCACTGAAACTGAATTTACTAGTGATTTAGCATCTAGCATGATAAGGTAAGAAAAATTGAAAGCTAATTTTTGAACATCAGGAAACATACATGGTAGCATATAATGAATCTGAAAAACAGCAGCACAAGATAAAAATATACTACCAAGTGGGGCAATGAAATAAGCATCTACATTAAACCATTAGTTCAAGTACTAATACAGACCCCAAGTTCTTGCAAACTTTGCTCAACCCGCTTGATAGTCCGAAGTCCAGCAGATGAGCTTGCGGCTTGGATCATTTGGTCAAGCGCATATGTTCTAAGATACACCCGGAGCTGAAAATTTTCTAAATCAGTCAGACAATACACTCAAGAGTGGATATTGTACTTGCATATTTCAAAGACTGTATGAAAAATTTATCTAAATAACCATAGGAGTAGTCATATTTTGAAGTGAGTCAAGAAGCAGTTCACAATTTTCCTTTGAGAGAAAATGCTTACAAGCAAAAGACTGAAAAAAGAAAAATTCATGCAGTAACTTTCACAAGAGCAGGAAGGAAATAGAATGAAATTTGGTAAGTCAGTTAAACATACCATTTTGAGAGAACCTAAAGTAGAGGCATTCTCTGCCATCAAAGTTGAAGGTGCAACTGTTCCAGAGGGGAACTGAGAGTTGGATGAAGGTGATACAGTCTCGCCAGGAACGAGAGCCCTCTCATTATTTTCAAGGCCATCATTCAATGTGACAGGCAACTCCAACTCTTTAGCACTCTGAAAGGCAGAAAAATCAAGTATATCAATATTCACAATACTCAGAGGCATGCAAAATATTGCTCATTCTGATTTTATACCACCAGTAAATTGGCACGATAGGATTCCTATAAGCCTCCCACAAGTTGAAATCCACTAAGAGATATTTTTACGAACTTAAGTAAATAGCACTAAGGATTATTAAATGGATACTGGAAAACCTGTTAAGTTCAAGAAACAAAATTCAGAAAACAGTGCACAAATCCCATGTGAAAATAAATATCTTGATATCACTTAGAATCTTATTCTAAATAACATAAAATGTATCTATCTGTAAAAAGCTTTAAAAATCTTTAAATACGTTAAACAGTTAGCTAACAAATTCCAGCCACAACTCAATCCTTCCATATTAATTAATGTTAACAAATGATAATTATTATTGCTTAGAGAAGAAAATTTTAATTTTACAACATTCATACAAATTATGCTAGAACTAAATGAAAATTGAAAAAATTTCAATGCAAAATTCAAAAAGAAAAGAGGAAAATCCAAAACCAAAAGAAAAAGGATAGTTATGGTGTAATATGGAGCATGATACTTTGGAAAAGCACCGTGCTTCATGCTCCCCACACTCTAGGAGCCTCTAGCAACTACAGTTTCCTAAATGATTATGAACTCACCATAAAATTAAAATAAAGCATACTAGCACATTTGACTGTAAACTTACCCTAGCAACCATGCGTGCCTCAGCTATTCTTTTGGCTTCAGCAAGAACCTAAGAAAATGTAAAATGGATCAAACAAGTTAATGATTATACATCCATTTGAAAAATCAAACTTCAAATTAATGTCAGAGGGCCACAGATAAGATTCAATCACTAAAAGATTCAAAGATGAAATTTAAACCTCAGCATCTTTTCTCTCTTGGTGCTTTGTTTGAGATAGGACCATGGATAGTGCTCGCTTGCGCTCTCTCTCTTGTGCAACTTTATAAGGTTCCTAAACCAAGAGAAAATAAGAAAACCCCAAAACAGGGCAATAATGTGATGCAACATGCGTAGCATAAACATGCTGGTACTTAAGAAAAACAATGAACTAATAAAAAGGGCAGGCCAGTCAACAAGTCTGCTGCCAATGCGGGGTCTACAGAGGGCAAGGCATACGCAGTCATGACACCGTTCCCGGATAGATTGTTTCCGCAAACCAAAAGGAATGAATATTCACTTAAAATTTCGGTTGATAAAGCTACACACCTTAACAATAGGATGCCCTGAAACATCTGCAGGGGATGCCGCTCTAGCCATTAATATAGCTCGAGATACTACAACAAATAGTGGGGTAATCATCATCATCAAAACCAAGTTCAATAATCTTCCTCAGACAGTGAATCAGTAAAAAATCCAAGCATAGAAAAGCATAATAAGAACATCATGAAAGTGAACCAAACAGTGAGCAATAACATTCTAGTCAAGCAAAAAGACAGACAAATACCACTGTAATAGCGATCCTTCAATTCCTCCACAGTACGAGATGACGGGAACCTGTCTGCTATCACAATGAAGCGGAGATCAAACCGCTGACACATGTCAAACAATTGATCCGTCTCCTCCTTCGTCCAAATCTAATGAAGACAAAATATATTAACAGAGAATGAGGCACTGAATTCATGATGCAATGACACAATGAAAAACATTCTCAGAATTAAATTAAATAATTATCCAAACAAAATCTAGATTTGATACCTACAGGATCAGTCAAATACTTCTCATACTCATCATCTGTGTATTTGACAACATCCACGGACTGCACAGAATTTGACAAAAACAAATAATAATGAAAAATAAGCATTCACTTACAGTATGAAACAAAGAAAAATTCTATGTCCATAAGAAGAGGGACAATCCTTTCCCAGCACAGTTAAGGATACTTGTGCATACCTTGTTATACTTGGCAAAGGAGTAGTCACCTGTAGGTGGGACACCATTTACAACTCTAACCTGCAAAGTACAAGAAAAAAAAAGACATATTCAGAGCCCAACTGAAAACAAACAAACACAGAGTTTGGAGGCACATTACATAAGGTACAAAAACTTACCCAGTGGTAAAGCTGTAAATTATCTTTCCGAGCAGTACTTGTAAACGGAAGCCACTGCCAAGTGATCTGAAAGCATTATGACAAGAATTCTCATTATTGATTGTGGAAGAGAAGCATAGGATAAAAAATAACACTAAATAAAATCTGAAAACGGCTACACCTACAAGCAATTCAAACCTAACACAGTGATATATTCCGTAGTCTCCTGTCTATAAATCCACCATCTTTTACACTATTGGTGATCCTAAAAATGTGAGTACATAGACTAATGATGAACTAAATAACCTTCTCATCGGTTGGTGGCCGTTTTTTCAGCTGCGATGTCTCCACTGCAGGCATAAGAGGTGGCACGCCACCTATAAGCGCATACACCTACAATTCCACATGCCCGAAACACATTATCAGTTCAAATTGTAATCATTCAAGACCGTGAACCCAAAGTTTGAGAAAAAAAAAAGGAAAAAAAAAGCATGCATTATGATCGAAATTAGTTAAATTTAAGCGGAATTCGACAAACCCTAAACACACAAACCTACCTCGCGCGAAATGCCATCTGGTTTTCGCTGAGATTCCTTCGGGGGCCGAGATTTCTTCTCCTGGGATAAGGGATGCGCGGTTTTGGGCAAGCCCAAAATGTCCTTGGCATCCATTTCGATTTTCCCCAAAAATTAGGGTTTTGTTTTCTTACTTGCCGTGGGACTTGTTCGTGTTCGCCAAGAATGCGAATTCACAGCACATGTGAAACAACTACTGTTTCCTTGATGGAATTTTGGATTCCAAATGCGTGGATATGTAGTTAGGGTTTTGGATTGTTGACGAAAAATGGGTTTGGGGATTGGTAAGTTCGTTGCGTTTTCGAGCGCGAAAGTTTTGACTTAGAAGGAACCTGCGGGGCCTTATTCCTTCACACACAGGTGACTAACAGCGAGCTTTAGATCTCCAATGGTGTGTCCTTGATGCTTGTGTAACTACCAATTGGATTTGGACTAAGATTGCTTCGGCCCAAGCCGGCTGATCCAGAATGCGGCCCATTTATTTGGGTTTTATTCCTATTCGATACATTAGTATGGTCGAACCAAAGATCTAATTCTAATTCTTCACCTTCCCTCGCCATTAGGTGGTTTTTTGTGTGTGTGTATGTGTGAACAAAAGGCCACAGAATTTTATTTGATCAGTAGGAAGAAAGAGTATAAATGACAGAGACTGTAAAGGGAGCGATCCTAATGGCAATATGGCAGATATGGGTAAAAACACTCCAGTGATCCGAGCCATCGAAAAAGCTGAAACGATCTGGAGAGAATAACTATCGAAAATAACTTCTATATAACTCATTTCTACCATCATAGTTTTCTCGAAAATAGTCCAAAGATATCAATGACAAAACTAGCTGCTAAAAACACCTAGAAAACTCAACTATGTTTATGAAACACCTAGAACATTTGTCAACAATCAAATACCACTAGACTTTAAGTGAGTTTTTTCTTTTCTATAGCATTATTAGAGCAAGAGTTAATTGGTGATTTATTTGGTCTCTTTTAAGATTGAGATATTCTCTCTACATCTAAAAATGTGATCAAAACTCCTAATTTCTCAAGGTGTGGTGGTCATAATAAAAAGGTCCGAATGTTGATGTAATACCATCCCAATTATTATTAGGGTTATTTGTAGCAATAGTCCCTCAATTATACTCAGAGTTACATTTTGGTCACTCAACTTAAATATTAGTTACAGAGGTCACTCAATTGGATATTGTGTTATACCATTAGTCCCTACCGTCAAGTCTCTCTAACGGTAGGGACTAATGGTGCAACACAACACCTAATTGAGTGACATCTATAACTATTTTTTGGAGTTGAGTAACCAAAATGTAACTCCGAGTATAGTTGAGGGATCATTGTTACAAATAATCCTAACGAAAAAGTCACATTTGCCCATCAATAATCTAAGAGATGCTTGTCACGTCATCATTTTAAACAGAAAAAGTCACAGACTTAACGGTAAGGACTAATGGTGCAACACAACACTCAATTGAGTGACCTCTGCAACTAATATTTGAGTTGAGTGACCAAAATGTAATTTCGAGTATAGTCGAGAGACCATTGCTATGAATAACCCTTATTGTGATTTTATAATATGAAAAAGAAGACATGGACGATTAGTAAGTTTGAAAACTAAAGATAAACAAGTAGTAAAATTTGAAGAAGCGAATCTTGGTTGTTTTCTTTTGGCTGATCTTCCAACTTTAATTTATCTATCATTGCTTGTCATTTATCAAGACCAATTACATCATCACTTATTCTTCTTTTTTATATTCATTAATATTATTGCATGTTGGTATTTTTTTACTAATACACTAATCCTCCCAAACGATCCAAGCTCAGCCACTAATTGACACTTATTATGAGATTGTAAGTCCACCAACCATTGCATGTAGTGGAGTGGTTTGCGTCCAAACTTGGAAGGGTGCTGTCTAATAATTCTCCTAACAAAGCAAAACTTCTCCAAGCCCCGATGGGTGATGTATATATTATCACAATTGAGTGTTAGTTGAATTGGTTTAGATTTTTTATATGCTCTCAAGTGATTCTGCGTTCAAGTTCCGATGGTATCTGTGTGTGTGTGAGTTTCCCCCTCCCCCTTTGTAACTTAGGCCAAAAAACAAAATGGCGTGAAGCTATTTTCCTAGCTAAACAGCTGGTTTGATAAACCATTGTTTTCTGGTTAAACTGTTAAATTATTATCCTTATCAAGGTGTGTTGAGCACAAATCAACTAATTTCCCATTTGAAATAATGGCTAAATACAGAAAAATGAGGAAAATTTAACGCACCCCAAATATCTTTTCTTATTAGCAAAAATTTATATATAAATCCCCTAACAAAACCCTAATTTTTGTTCTTCAAATTCAGATGAGGAAGAGCTCAACATGTCTTAAATCATATTACACATGGAGCATTTCTTTGGATTACAAAGGGATCTAACACACTTGCCAAAAACCTGTGCATGAGGACAGCAGCAATATTTATTATTCATGACATAAGCCCAGTCACCCATAGTGCACTGCTAATTAACAAGGCTTAATTATAATTAATTAATTGATACGTACATGAAATGAGAAATATTCCATGGCCATCGATGAAGCCATGAGTGATAAGGACTCAGAGATCACATACATGATTGCCATATGGCGAGCGTGGAAAACTGCAGAACCCACCAGCTTTTGTCACATCTCATATGGAATTTCCTCTGTGTTTCACTCGTATGGAATTTCTTTAATGCCTTTTGTCTGGTCTACATGTTTCGAGCTAGCCGGCCTTGAGCCTTAAATTAAGGGTCGTGCTTCATGGAAAACACAGGCACTGGAGACCGACAAACCCATTTCTATATGTTTTTATCTTCTTAATTTATTGTTACTTTCCTGCTAAACTACTGCTAACACTTTGTGGATTTTCTAAGACTGTTTCTGGTTCTTTCTCTTTAGTTAAATAATGAACTATCCAGGGTCAATCAAAGTATAAATATCACTTTCAAACTGTACTAATCGAATCATTCTGTTAATTGATGATAATTATTAAGATCTAAGCATCAGGTTTATCCAATAAATAAAGAGGTACATGGATATTTTTTAAAATTTTCATTACAAATGATATCAATGTTTACATGAGTGACTAATGTGTCACTACATAACTATCATGTCGGGTTCGGAGATGGGGACACTCGGTCTGTCTCAGATCATGTATTTTGAAAAATTAGGAATTCCCGTACCCGCCCTTGTTTTTCTCCTAAAATCTTCCCCCCTTAGAGCCGAGGACCCAACTTGATGAGGATTTTTGCCATTACAATATCAGTTCATAAAAGACTCATAGTTAATAGATAATAATTCTGTACACAAAATATATCCAATTTAATCCTAACTTTCCCTCAACATCTTTTTCACAACCAAGCCTCTAAAAACCATTCTTGCGCATTCATTCCCAAGTGTGTTTGAGGTTTCTCTATGAGTACGCAATACATTGACAAACATGCATATAGCTATATGTTAGGCTTCAATGTATCCACATGGCTTATTTGCATATCTCCTTTGCACAAAAGGTGTGGGGGCAAATAAAGTCTAAAAGATAGCGTAAACATATATCCAACATGATACAGTTGTATACCAAAACACTCTTACAAAATCACATTGAAAGAACACGTAAATTTGTGTTTCATCTAAAAGAACACTTAAATTTGTGTTTCATTTGGTGCACCACAAAAAACACATACATTCTCTACTTGCATTCACATTCTCCATAAGTTATGAAGAACAACCAACATATTTATGCAACGCCACTAAATAAATTGATGTAGAATAGTTAGCGGAGATGATCGAAGAATAATTGGAGTGACGCATATATGGGCAAATTGGATAAACTGCAAATGGACGCCGAGCTCCAATTTGGACCCATAACTCGCCATTACAAAAGAGCAACACCATGAGTCTCACACACAATAGAGAGCTCTGACGAGTAAAGGGGCACTAGTGATGTACCTTGAAATTACCATACTCAAAGTAGTCTAGAGCTTTAGATGCGTGCGTACTTTGATATGCTCAAGACAATGTTTTATATTGTAGTCCTTTAGGGTCTTTTTATGAGTTGTAAGCCAAGCTTTGGTGTAACTCTAAATCTAAGTGAGAATCCAAGGATAAAGATCTCCTTAGCCGTACTGGCTCTTAACTCAAGTCCTACTCCAAATCCAAGTAGATTTGGGGTGTGAAATAGGCAAGTCTTAAGGAGGTTCGGGCTTGAATTCTTTCCACTTACGAATCGTATCCAGACCTAATGATTACAAGACATGAGAGATTTCAACCCACTACTTTTACATTAACCTGCTAACTCAGATGAGGGTGTAACATTGTATAGCCCCACAAGTGGCCCCAATTAGTATTTCTCCAAATGTGAACACTTGAACGATCAACAGAAAACATTACTACGATGTTTATTTAAAGCATAACTTTCTTCACTAACGAATCACTTATGTTAAAATTCCTTTCTTTCAAATAAAAATAAATAATTGAAAAACGAGTTAGCCAAAATGCACGCAAAATTGTGGCAATAGATTGCCTTGTAATTGTTTGATTGAGTGCACAATTGAGAGTAAGCACATGCTACATCCTTCGTAGTAAGGCAAATCGAAATAAAGATGAGAAGATTAGTATTAGTTTAACTTATATATTCTAGTTTTCAATAGATTTATTAGACTAAAACAAATGAAGATGAAGATTAGATAAATTTATTAGCCAAAATGGAATCATTAGCGAAAACGAGAAGCATCAATTATCGAACATGGCCTGACCATCAAAGTTGGAGGGGGGAGCATACGGTACCCACAAAGCATGCAGGTAACCCCTCAGACATTGCTGTTTGATAAATTTATTCAGTCTTATTTTGAACTTTCGAAAATTTCATAATCTACTGGCATAAAAAATTGAGTGAGAAGACAAAAGGTGCACGTGTGGGGAGTGAAAGCTGAAAAAGTCAACAATCATCAAAGAAACATACGCGTAACAATGGCCTGACAGGTGCTTTTAATTTAAGCCCCCAACTCTTTTTGAAAAGTGTTTTTAACAAAATCCCAATTAGAGGGGACAAACAGCCGCTACCAGCCTGTACCCCAACCCCTCCTTCCTTCCTTCCTTCCTTCCTTCCTTATCACACACACACGTACACTGTGCAACTCTCTAACGTTCCTTCACATCTTTGAGCCCTCAAAGTTAAAAACCAAAAATAATAACAATTAACAAGTATATTATGTAGAAAGTATATGTGTTAATTACTAAAAGGTCAATAATTGATGTCCTAAGTGAATCTCACCTGCTACTAATGCACTCTTAAAAAAATGATCCGTCTAGCATTATTTTATTTTTCTTTTTTCTAAGAGAATCTCGACGGAACGAGAAGTCTAGCATTATTTTATATTTATGTTTATATATACTTATTTTAGACTCCAAGGTGCCATGCGATATATACAAACTTCTCATGTCTTGTAACTTATGCTGCCTGGTTCGAAATTATAAACAATCACCCACTTCCCCTACCTAGCATAAATAAAAACAATAATAATAATAATAATAATAATAATAATAATAATAGTCATCTCTCTCTCTCTCTCTCTCTCTCTCTCTCTCTCTCTCTCTCTCTGTGGTACACCAGCTCAACCACGATCACACCTCCAAAGTACAAAGTTCAAACTCAAATTCCCTATCTTGGATCACCTTGTTTTTCTCTTCATAATATTAATTCTTTTAATCTTCCAGCTGAAACAGAAACAAGCAATGGTTGTACCATCTCCTTCACCAATACGAACCAAGAAAACCAAGGCAGTAGGAATTCCCACAATCGATCTATCAAATTACAATAGGTCAAAGCTATCGGAACAAATTGTCGAGGCCTGTGAAGAGTATGGTTTCTTCAAGGTGGTGAACCACGGCGTCCCGAAAGAGGTCATTGAGAGAATGGAAGCACAAGGTGCTGATTTTTTCGCCAAACCCGCCATGGAGAAGCAACGAGCTGGCCCGGCTTGTCCTTTTGGTTATGGCTGCAAAAACATTGGCCGCAATGGTGACATGGGAGAGCTTGAATACCTTCTCCTTCAAACCGATCCTCTCTCTGTTTCTGAGAGATCCAATGCCATCTCCAACGAGCCTACAAAATTCAAGTATGTTTTTCTTCATCTTCTAATTAATTAGTATACACACATGCATGTCACATATTTATTTCTGAAAAACAATGATAAAGAACAACATAAAGCCTTGAGAGACCTGGGTTTTCGGTTTCTGTTTCTTCTAGCAGGTTCGCGGGGTTCATGGTATTAGTAAGTTTATGGCGTGTTTGAATTAATTTCTTGAATTTGATGAATTGTAATTATAATGCCATTATAAATATAGCAACATTACTTGAAATCATGGCACTATTGGCCAACAAAGGAGGCAGGGAATTGATTTGCAGATGAATAGGTGGAGAAGATTGTTTAGTATTAATCCTTGGTATCCTAGAGAAGGACATATTTCCTTATTGGAAAAAGAAAGGATTAAAAAAAAACCAGACTTCATAATCCATATTTATTTAATAACTCTTTTGTTGTCAATTTATTATTATTATTATTTTTGTTTCACGGACATAGCTACCTCATAATAAAGAATTCTAGACCTTCAAATTATTAGTTGGATCCGCATTCTTTTCATGGTTTGTTAATGCCAGGGCACCAAATATAGAGCTTTGACTTTCATACAGACTTTTTTTTGGGGTCATGACTCGTGCATATACCGGACTCTTTTGGTTGAGAAATTCTGTTTTTCCACCGTAATATCACATGCTATGCTGACTTAGAATTATAAATTTATCGAAATTATAATACGTTATTAATATTTAATTTTAAAATCGACAGAGATAAATCACACTATGTCACGTGTTATTATTACTGTTCCGAAAATGGATAGAGATAAATCACTCTTGAATATAGATGGCAAAGCTTTTTGCAATAATTTGAGGCTAACCATTTTAGCTTAGATTTCTCATCATCTTATCCTGTTCTCGTTTCTGCAACATTTTGATGAACAGTAGTTGCTCTCCATTGATACATTTGAAGAACTGGGGTCATCTTTTTGTACTGAGTGCTAGCCAATCTGTGAATGAAGCATGTGCATGTGGTTACAAATTGACATGACTGTTTGGATCGATCTTCTATGTATTCTTTTTTCTCGCATGAGCCGAGTATGAGACAGCTTGAATTTATTGGCATTTGTTCATTTGAGCAAAACATTTAAACCATGCATTTCCAATTCCATAGAGTACACAAAAACAAGAGAGTTTATATGCTTAGGCAGGCTTGCATGGGACCCCATGTTCAACTGTGGGACTCCCACTTTTCTCGGTAACCAGGAGGGCCATACCATTATTTGCATGAAAATTTAAACAATCAATCATATATATGTATACATTTTCTATGATAGCTACATAGCTTTGCAAATCATCAAAACATAAAAAGAAAAGTTGAATGGCATAATCCATCCCTTTTGCTAGCTAATACTAAATTTGGGAACCACATTGAGATTACTTTTCGATTTATTTTTCAATATATAATGCGCATAATCAATTCACCAAATGATGTATCAGCATATATATATATACTCTCGCATTATTTGGTAAAGAATAGTATACGAATTTGTTGTGTATTTTTAATTTTGAAGCAATGAATAATGATCAATATTGTTTGAATTAATCCAGCTGTGCAGTAAATGATTACACAGAAGCAGTTAAGGAATTGGCATGTGAGATTCTTGATCTGGTGGGTGAGGGGCTATGGGTTTCAGACAAGTCTGTGTTCAGTAGGTTCATCAGAGACGTCCAGAGTGACTCAATTCTGAGGCTTAATCACTATCCTGCGGTGAAGGACCCATCACCAAAACAACAGCTTCATCTGTATGGCAACAATAATAGGATTGGATTTGGAGAGCATTCTGACCCTCAGATCTTGACCATCCTAAGATCCAACAACGTGGGGGGCCTTCAGATTTCACTGCATGATGGCTTGTGGGTTCCCGTCCCTCCTGACCCCAATCACTTCTTTGTAATGGTTGGTGATGCATTACAGGTCAGTAACACCAATTCTTTCTTTTTATTTCCTCAACATATATGTACCAATTTTCCATCATATTTCATTTAACACAAAAGTTCAAGTGAATTATGACTCGGAAAGTATATAATTTTTTTTTATTCACTAGTTTATTAGATTAATTATGATTTGAAAAAGTAAAATTTCTTTATCACTAGAAAATGAAAGTCAAACCCCCCTCTATCTCTCTCTTTCACACTACACACGCACGTTGGGTATGAGAATCATTTCTTTTTAAGGTTAAAATGTAGCAATGGTCCCTCAAGTAAGACCCCAATTTGCTTCAATGATTTTCTTCAATGATGATTTATTAACGGAGGGCCAAAATTAGAATCTAATTTAACACTAATACAAAATGTTGTCTTCAATGATGATGATGTAATTTTTAATATTTTCAAAAGTAAATTCAAAATACGCATAATCACTCAAAAGTCATGCATAAATTTCAAACTTCTGCAGCGTAATATTAAGCATGTATTAATATTATTTTGTTTATAATCACCAGGCTTTGACGAATGGGAGGTTAGTAAGTGTGAGACATAGGGCATTGGCAAACTCAGTTATGAAGCCAAGGATGTCGATGGTGTACTTTGGGGCACCACCCCTAAATGCATGGATGTCTCCACTTCCGGAGATGGTGTCGCCGGAGAAGCCCAGCCTCTACAAGCCCTTCACATGGGGAGAGTACAAGAAAGCAGCATACACTACACGATTGGGAGATTCACGTCTCGACCATTTCAAGATTAATAATAATAATAATCACACCTGCAACGATCAAATTCCATGTCCATGCTTGGACAATCTTGTACAATAATATTATTAGAATATATATAGTTGTAATGTACGTATATATGTATGGCTAGCTAGGTCACAATGGTAGTTGAAATTGAAGGTTGATGGGGAAATTTTTGCTTTGATATATATTTAAGCACTTCCCCATTTATTTATTTCTAGTTGTATGTTGGTTTGTTTGAATATCAATGCATAAGACTAGCTAGCTATGTATAGGAAGGTCTGAAAGTAAAACTAGTATGCCAATGCACTGGCGAACCTGTTAAGGAGCAAGGAGGTGCATCAGCACCTCCCCTCGCCAGAAAAACCATTGTAGCTGCTTGAAATTGCTCATTTGCTCCTTATTTCCATATTCAACATTTAAGTAAATGTCTTGGTCTTTTTACTTTCATTTATTTTTATATTATTTCATTTACTTAAGTTTACAATGTAAATAGGAAGTACCCCCCATTTGGATTCAAATAAAAATACTAGAAAATCAAATTCCCCCCAAATCAAAATTTGAAAAATCGGTTTTAGTGCAAAATACGATTTAGGCTAAAAATGATAGCTCATTAAGTCAATATATACTTCATAATAAAATCCCATAAAATCAAGTTATCTTATTTGATGTGTAAGGAAAAAAAGCCGCCAAAAATTATCTTGAGAAAATGATTATTCCGAAAAACCATTTTTCATACTTAGTCAATATTTTTACATAGAACAATTTTTCATGTATGATATGAATGTATGAAAGGACCTAAGGTCAATTTAGGTAAAAAGCCTTATATCCAATCCACAAAGAATTTTTAACCTTTCAAAATTGCACATCTGCTAAAAAATTCATGAGTCCGCCAGTGTGCCAATGGGTTCCCCCTTTCCCCATGGCACCCCAGTTCGAACCCGTTCAAACTCCAATGTAACCGAAAAAAAAACAAAAAAACTAGTAGCTTAATTTATGTATGTGGGAGATTACTTGTACGTTTGTATTTTCTACCTCTTTGTAGCATTTTTTTGCACGTCTTCTTGGTCAATTTAGTTGGCTGGATAAATTAATCTGGTCAATTAATTTTACTGGATCAATAAATTAATCTGGTCAATTAATTTTACTGGATGAATAATTAAACTCATATGAGCCCACTTTTTTTCTTTTTGTTATTGCAGCACGTGTTGGTCCACGGTCGTCGGTTTAACATTAGGTACACCTAGGAAAATTACATGATACCAACGTGTGAGCTCGTGTGGATCAACTAATTTGTTTCAATATCACAATCATGTTGGCGTACATTTTAGTTCCACTAGATGCAGACATTGGGACAAATGTATGTACAGTTTTCATAGGACGATTATTTTGTCCACAAAAAATATGCATGCATATAAAACTCAATTTCTTTCTTTGCAAAATCAAAAAATCTCAACTAAAAAATTATCTTCCCAACTTAGGTATCCCAATTAATCATTAAATGTTTTAGGAGCTATTGTCCTTGAACTTTGTATCGACTTGAGCTTTAGCCCCTCAACTCCATTTTCGTTTGTAACAAAAGTCCTGGAGTTTTTGTTACTTTTTTATGAAAGGAATATCATGAACATTTTGTTGTTTTAGTTGAAACATTGTGTTTGTCTATTTGTTGTGCTATTGTTAGAAGACCAAATAATTTTGAATTTCGATGATTTTTTTTAAAAGGATGATCCTTAAAAATGAATGGTCTGAATCATCTAATTGCACTCGCTTTTCTCGATCACTTTTACAAATAGTACAACGAGATCCCTTTAATATTGTACACACACAACTAAGAAAGAGAGTATCTATGAAAAGGTTGTACCGTAAAGAGAGACTATGAGACCCATAAACTTAGAGCACTCATGTAACAACAATGATGAGTTGAGGGGAGAAAAGAGGAGTTCTTGATTTGAAGATTTGATCTGGTGGGGAATAAAAACTTGTGAGTGTGATTTTGCGTGGCTATTTTTAGTCTCGCCAACTTTATCAAAAATGAATAAAGGGAGGGTTGTTGTATCAGCCAGCTGACTGCCAGCTTTGCTTGTGAGATACCCTTTGGAATAATTATTGTAGGTATGAAAGTGTGAAGATGCTCAAAGCAAAGGCCATCTAGGCTAATTTAAGGCTCTTACTTCTTTAGGTAGGGTTTCCATATTCCTCAATTGGATTGTTTGGTGAATATATATATATATATATCCTAATTATGCGCCTGTTCGAGTAATTATCAAGGTACCGTAAGCATCAATGAATGAAAGAATATATTCACATAATTTGAGGAAAATCCAAATACTACTTGACAGATTAGTGGTCACATACCGTGGTTCATTACCATGGTCCCAAAATGTTCTCTCTCTCTCTCTCTCTCTCTCTCTCTCTGTGGGTTGTCCAACGCTTATTGAGTCATGTAAAAGTGGCATGGCTTTAGATGGCCAACTCCCTTACAAAACTGATCGCATGGCAAGATTTGCATGAAAGATTTTTTACGTTAAAGGCATTTCTTGTGCCTAAAGTAAATGCAACATGAAGTATCTATCTACTACTTGTTGACACCTGCATTTCTTTCTCAAGTAGTCAAAAATGTTGTGGGAAAAACTGTATATATATATATAGGGTGATGCAACCGTTTGACGCTCAAATTCATAGACGGGTGAGGAGAGGAAGCTCAAGGCTTCAGGTGGCAATTCAGCCCTCAAACCCACATATATTTTTATGGCTTCTCTACTCTTGTTACTAGGAGCGATAATGCAACCCCACCATAATGATCATCTTGTGCTGAATGAGGGAACGGAGGAGTCCAAGCACAGCAATTATCATGATGGGTGGAGTGAGTGCGCCTCTGACTACCACCACCCATGGAGTTTTCTGAGCCACAAAGAGTTTGAAATCAGCTCATGGAGGTTAGCTGAGTATGGTATTTGGACTTGAGTACGAAACCATATTCACTACTTTGTTTCTCATAACTCATATCTCCATCGATTTAAATTTTACCTCTTTATAGGTAGCAAGCTATTATACAGCTGATACATGCTTGATTCAGAGTATAAGACTCTTGGTTAATGTTATTATATCCTTGATGTAACTTGTGTACAATACTCTTCATTATATATATATATATATATAGAAATTCTCCTATGCAGACATTCGGACGTTATTATCGTGTGAACGTCATGTATTTTCTATTACCCCTCCCTACTTTCCTCCCTATTTACAAATTACAATGGTATATTATGCTATTATTTCAGAGAAATTTAGTGCTAAAAGCCATAATGTTTATGATATTGGAGATAGCTAGCAACTTATTCATCTTGAAACCCAATTGATGTTACTAAAAATTAACATGACCAAATCTAGTAGGTGATTTGGAAAGGTATTAGGAAATCATGCCCTTGATCTCATCTTATACAAAAAAACATGTGTGAAACAATATAAACAAGATCAAGAATACACAAAAACAAACAAATTATTACAACAACACAAGAATTTATTAACGAGATTCACTCCATCTGTGCTATGTATCCAGGTTGCTATGAGATTTTCACTATTAAAGAAGGAAAGACAATTACAAGCACTAAAGTGTTTCGTCATACTCCCTTGTAATTAGGGTTAGCTCTCTTAACATAATACAACTCCCTAAAAGTCATATTTATAGTTTATAAGACTTACGGTTACATGGGTAGGAACTGAAGTCCGAATATGAAGCAAATTTTGAGTAGGAAATAAAACACGAAAGACGCTGGTATGGCTTCAAATGGTCCGCTGTCCTGTGATGGGCAATTAGCCGCTCTAACACAGCCTTGCAAACATCTCTCTCTTTTCTAGTAGTGTGACCAATCGGTTTTTGGACATGGGCTCCTCTAACTTGATACCTCCCAAGAAACTCAGCCAAAGCTTCAAGCACTTCACACATAACAAGGCCACATCTCAAGCAACCAACATCTCCATCATCATATGCTAAGAGACCAACTGAAATCGATCACAACTTCAGTTTGTTAATCGCCAACTTAGTCAAAATATCAACATAAATCAGCGTATGTAATTTTAGTTTGGTTCAATATTCTTGGTCCTTGAATGAAACACATGATTTTATCCGAGTGAATTGCACTCTAACTATATCACTATACAAAACACAACCCTCCTTAATTCCTCCAAGAAGCCTTTCAACCAAACCATATCTCTTTTGCAGCCTCACTGGTCACCATGCTCGGACAAAGCTATACACCTTGTAATCTTGAGACCAACTCACAACAATACTACCCACATTACAAACATAACAAAATAATACTCCTCGTATTATCAATGTCTCTTGCCAAGTCTACATCGACAAAACCTTTGAACTCAGACACAATCACCTATAAAACAGAGACATAGTACCTCGAAGATACATGAAAATCCCCTTTACCACCTCCCAATGTTGCTTTCCAGGACTACTGTGTATCGACTAACAACCCCGACTGCATGAGCAATGTCTAGTCCAGTACACACACATGAAACATCCAACCACTGAAGCATAAAGCACACTTACTATATAACCTTTCTTGATCCATGTTAGGAAGATTACATCTCCTAGTTTCAGGCTGCTAATTGTGTCAAAGCTATGCTTGATATGTGTTGGCACCATGTTGACCTCACCTTCCCCCTTTAGCAAATCCCAACAATTAAGGGATAACCCCTCTTGTCATAGGTCACATCCCACCAAACAAGGAGTAGCTAGCCATGCCCCCTCTTATGTCTTCTCAAGGCCCAAGACCCTAAATTAAGGGGAGCCAAGCAAATGACAAAGCCATCAATGAACCTTGTCTACTCCAACTTGGACTATAAAAGGGAGCTCACCACCTCCAAGCAAAAGGAGGATTGGCTGCTATTTCTTCATTTCTCCAAGAGCTGTCCAAAGTTCTCCCAAGCTTTCTATTACTCTTCTACTAGAGCTCTCAAGCCTCTCTCCCTATTTCTCTCATGTACAATGTAACCTTTTCAAATACAAATACAAAGCTATAAACTATAGTGGATGTAGCCTCATTATGGGTGAACCACTCAAACACTTGTGTTATGTGTGATTATTTCTTAATCCGTTAGGTACAAATTCACCTGTTAACATTTGGCGCCATCTGTGGGAAATGACACAAAATTCATGTCGTTCTCATCTATCTCAACCTGGAAGTTCATCTCCACCAAAAACCATATTCATGGTCCAGCTACTCCTAGCCGACCAATGGAGAATAAAGCCCACATGTGCCCCACTGCAAAATCTGCTCAATAGCCTCAGCTTGTCTCACCTCCACTACGCAAGGGCTGCTCCAACTAGCAATTCCTCAAGACACCCAACGTGTCTTCATCTACCTTCTCTCGTAGCCCAATCTCTCGCGGGTCAGTGGAGCAAAAATGGAGACGAAAGGACAGAGCTTCTCTCCTCTATTTCACGACCCGGATCAGCCAAACAGATCAACAAGCAACAGAAACTAAGAAGTTTCAAACTGGCGACGCCGCCGACCAAGTCCCATATATATGCCGACCATACTTCGCCATTTCCCTCAACCCCGTGTCATCGATACCAACCAGATTTACCTCCGTCGCTGGTCAGTTTACTACGCCGCCGACTAGACCCACAATCTCAGTACATGGGACAGCCAAGCTAGGTGCCCGCCTGCAAATTTCCACACCATGCAACCAAGGTGTGCTCCCCCCCTCAAGGACCAAACCATGGTTCCGTGCTTCGTCTTCACACAAAGAGGTCCGCCCATGCCCATTATCTCAAATAGTCCAAGTATGGTCAAATTATAAACAAACTTTTATTCTTTTATGTGCGTGTTGGGTTGGTTTGTGCAATTACCAATTTACGCCTGCAACTCCCTCTATCTATCTAGCTTGTCCAGCTTAAATAAAAGGGCTATTTGGACCTTTGGTTGCCCATTTTTCACATCCATGTGCGTCATAAACATTTGTGCAGATTTTCATCATTTACAGTGATTTATTATAACAAATACACAACTGACAGTGGGACGCGATGTCACCAAAAAGAAGGTGGGACGCGACGGGGGCAAGACGAAACTACTCTATGGCTAGCGCTCTAGGCTCTAGCTAAGTGCAAAGTTTGGTAAAAAAAGAAATTTAATACTAATTTTTAAACACCACACTTCATTTTATAAATATTAGTCCAATTCATCCAAGCAAAAATTAGTATGTCCTATCCAAACAGTTAGCTTTAAGTTTTCTTGTATGAGAAAATTAATTATTCATATAAGAAATAATAGTCAACCTCTATAAAAATTTCTGATTTTGTCCTTGAATGTGAGGAATGTCAACAAAAAATTGGTAGTTTTGACATAAACAAAATTGAAAGGAGGAGAGATATAGGTATAGACGTGGCACATACAATATGAGTAATGCTACTTTTACCATATTTTTATATCACATGATGTTGTATGTCCATATCATATGTCACATCAATTAAATCGATAAAGTATATTTTAATTAAGAAAATTAGAAAAACAAATAATATAATATGGTATACGGTATATAAATGTAGGAATATGGTTGATGTGGTTGTCCGTACATATAGGAATATGGTATATAAATGTAGTAGTAAGAGTAGCATTATTCATATAATATACATATGAGAATTTATTGATAAGTGCGGTTGCATTTCATGCTTACATAAATATGTTTTTTTGTTTTATTCGATACATGTTTGTTATGGTTTGTTTTGGACAAATATCCAAGGAAAATGGGATGCATGCACGTTGCAATACACTTGTACGGAAATATCCTCTCTCTCTAGGTCACCATTGACCAATTAGAATTTTTATATTGTATTTAATATTTATCTTAATTTTAATTAATAATATCAGTTTTTTATATTTGTATTAATCAAAGAGATTTTTAGTATTTTAATATTTTATTTTATCTTTTTTTTTTTTTTTTTTTTTTTTTTTTTTTTTTTTTTTTATATCATTCTCTTCCTTTTTGCCCCCTACATCCTTCTGTCAGGGATAATTGATTTTTATTTATTTATTGGTACTTTTTAAATTTGGCCCTTGGGTTACTTTTTCAATAAATAAAAAAAATTTGTAGTCCGCCACATGGCAATGAAGGCATAACCATGGATAAAAATGCTTTTATCAGGTAACCTAAACCCTAAAAGAAGAGAGATTGATTCAGTGATAGAGAGCGAGAGAGGAGAGCAGAAGTATGGTGAAAACTTAAATATCTATGTACCAATGAATTTTACTACCAAATCCATATCCAATATTTAATTATTCATACATAGTATAATAATTACGCAAATCCCAAGAAGAACCAAAAATCATAACTAGAAATGAAAATATATTTATATTAGAGAATCCTAATTAAAATTAACATCCATGTTATGATAATATCCACAAAGTGGTTAAAAGATTTGTCCAAACCCAAAGGAGAGCTACGTGGTCTTTCGACCAATAGCTTTACAAAATGGTTAAAAGATTTGCCTAAACCCAAAGAGGTTAAAAGTAAGCCTATAGGCTACAGATTTTCTACCTCCACACAAAGAATAATAAAAGACTTCATATGCAACCCATATATCAGCTAGTACAGCAGAACGCTTTAGTATCATCTGGAGACTGAAACCGCTACACAAAAACAATTCCTATCAAGTCTTTTTTCTCTTACACTGTTCACAAGTCTCAGGGAATATATTTTAACAACCTTTGCTAAACGGAAAAAATATATATATTATCCTTCTACTCTTCTATTCAGTTTGAAACTAGAAGCCGGTCAAGAATGGAATATAAAGAAAAGCCTCTCTTCGTTTGAAACTTTCTGTAAGAAGAAGCGTCATTTGAAACCTTCTGTAAGATGAAGCTGTTTGGGGTGCGGGACTTGGCCTCTCACATCACCATCCCTCCATCAATGGTCAATACCTACAATTGATCGGTGCAAAACTTGACATCTCACATGGTGCCATTTCCCATTTGTCCAAGGGAAAATTATCAGATTTCTAATAAAAATTTACCTGTCCAGTAATGTAACTGGCAGCAGGATTGAGCGCTAAGAATTCCACCAGTCCTGCGACTTCTTCAGGTTGACCATATCGTCCTGAAAGAATTATAAAACAGATTTATTTTCTCTAATTTATATGTGAGTCTACAAAGATCAGGCTTTAAGTTTAGGCAAACCAGGGAAGAAGAATTAGAGAATCAATCAAATTTCAATCATCCCAATCCAATGACTCAATAACATTTATATCTCTCAGATAAGTTATATAACCAACACGAGCAGTTTCTCAATAATTCACATTAACTACAATAGATTTTGATAATAATGTTTAAATAACTAGTAGCGAATTCTCACCTAGGGGGATGGTTCCCAAGATCTTCTTTTCTATGTCTTCTCCAAGCTTGGCAGTCATATCAGATGCAATAAAACCAGGTGCTACAGCATTGACCTAAGGAAAAAAAGAAAGCTTTAGATGGATAATTACTTTAGGCCCACCACGTAAGACTGGAAATATGCAAGAAATTTAGAAATATATCTGCTTGAATGTTTAATGTCCTGAAACAAACCACATAGCCATTGCTAAGTGTGGAGTGGGGTTAAACGTATTAGCAAGCAAGCCCCACACACCGAAAACAGATAATAAAATTAATTAATTAAAAACCTTGAATCACATGCACATACATTAATGCTCCTGCTTGAATACTCCTTTGCGACACTCTTCGTAAAGCCAATTACTCCGGCCTTTGCAGCACTGTAGTTGGCTTGTCCAACATTGCCAACAAGACCAACAACAGATGCTATATTGATTATTCTTCCCTGAAATATGATGAACATACTAAGGATCTAGAAGCAAAATAGGATTTTCACATTGACATAATACAAGAAAGGAAGACAGAATTTGATCACCTTTCTCTGTTTCATCATAATTTTCGCTGCAGCCTGCAAAAAGCATGAACCATGCTAAAAAGATCAGACAATTCTAAGCTTGAACAACTATAATTACTACATCAACATATGCCCTACACTACATACCTGTGTGCACAGAAACACGCCAGTAAGATTCAAATCAATAACCTCCTGCCATTGGGATGTTTTCATTCTCATCAACAAGCCATCCCGTGTTATTCCTGAAAAACACTGTGTTAGTTGAAATAGAAAGGAAAGTCAAGATAAGAAGCTTAAATACAAGAAGTAATATGATGCTGACCAGCATTATTAACCAACACATCAATTGTTCCCCATGCATCAACCACCTATATTCATTTGATTGAAAAGATGTCACGTTGCAAGCAATAATTGCAACCACACTAAAAAAACCATGTAGTTAGCATAAAAGAGCACATTCGCGTACAGTTTTAATCATTGCCGCTACATCTTCTTCCTTCGAAACATCACCTCCGAATGTCAGAGCTTGACCACCAGATGCCTCAATCTACAGCATTTAAACCGCAATAAAACATGTTTAAAATGCGGCATATAATTAAAACCAAATATTTCTACTATGAACTGATTTCAATATTGCATGAAGGCCATTATTTTAACCAAAAAAGGTACCTCCTTGGAAACTAATTCAGCTTCCTTAGATGACCTTGCGTAGTTTACCAGTACCTGTAACAGTGAAATGAAGCCTATGGTCATGACTTATCGAAGAAAACAATTGAATGATGAATGATGATGATGACCTTACAACCAGACTTGCCGAGAGTAAGAGCAACAGCTTTGCCAATTCCTCTAGAAGCTCCAGTGACGATAACCACAGGAGCCTCCACGTTCTGAGATACAGCAGCGCTCGATTGCTCAACGGCCGCTACCTGCGCCCTAATTCCTGCTATTTGATTATATTTCCATTAAAACATCACCAAATTGTTTTGATGTAAACTTCAATTTACCGTAACAAGAAAATGCGATTCATTTACCAGAGCTAGAGGAGGATGAGGAGCTCGAAAATCGGGTCAGGGCAACGCGATACAGTCGAACCCCGCCGAGAAGTGGATAGGAGCTTCGTGGGTGAGATAATTGGCGGAAGAGTCGTACCGGAGCTCCAACGGTGTTGAAGCCGATCATGGCCGCCATTGAGAGTCTGAGAATGGCGGGTGCCGCAGACGAAGAAAAGGAGGAAGAGAGAGAGGCAAGGAAGGTCACCAGAAGATCAATCTATCGGACTGAGAACTGAGGAAAAATGTGAAGAAGACGGGTGTGTAATCTCTCTGAGCAGGGGTTTTAGCATATCGGTGGAAATGCGTACTGTGTACAAGGAATTTTTATCAAATTGAGTAAAAACTTGCAATGGTGCCCGTGCGATGCTGCGGGTTCTAATACCATGTAAAATGTGTACAAAGTTGTGAATGTAAAATGTGTACAAAGTTGTGAAAATATGTAGGAAAAATGGTACTATTTATACAGACATGGAGATCTAAATAGTGGCATCATGCTTTGTTTAGCAAGTCTAAGTTACAAAAAAATAGAATAATAACACGTTTTTTATGCAGTTTGTCATGTTAAAATAATGACCATATTTTAATAAATCAAGTAGCAGTAAAAACATCAAAATATTGGCAACATTGAGATGCTCATAATTCAAATGAGTTTGGATAGGTCTTTATATATATGCTATAGGGTGGTGGAATAGGATTTTTCTATCTTGATGTCTGTTCTTTCTCTT